GACGGCAGGTCTGTTTGCTCGTACTCTACAGGCCAGTGGGAGCGCCAGGGACCAAGTCCAAGATGACGGAGTGCACGAGTTGCGGACGAGGCACTCGTCGGACAAGCACAAATTTCAGTCAAAGTCCAAGTCTAAAACACCCACTACTAAGTCTAAGGCATGTTATCGTTGTGGTGCCGCCAGCCATTTGGCCACTGCGTGTCAGCACAAAGACACTCGCTGCCGACACTGCCACAAGACTGGCCATCTGGAGCGGGTGTGTCTGTCCAAGAAACGCCAGCAAGATTGTCATCAACTCCAGGAGACGATCAGTTCTGATGATGGTGAGAGCGTTCCTATGTACCATGTATATACTGAATGTGTGAATGCTACTAGTACTACTAAATCGAATGCACCTCTGTACGTACCTGTGGAAATTAATGGTGTGACTGTAGAAATGGAGGTCGACACAGGCAGTGGTGTAACGATACTCACAGAGAAAGATTTTCAACAGTGCAATGGCGATTTGAATACATTGCAGAAATCTACAGTCATTCTCAGAGGATTTTCTGGTGCCGAAATTAAATGCATTGGGGAATTTCCAGTACCTGTCACGATTAACGGGAAAACTGAATCTGTTACTGTACGCGTTGTTGCAACTGAGGGTCCCTCCTTACTGGGTCGTGATTTACTTAACGTGTTCACTCTTCCCTGGAAACAAATGTTAGCCGAGAAGGTCCATCGTACCCTGGGTACTGACCAATTTCAGAAAGAGTTCCCTGCACTATTCGATCACTCGACATTGGGAAAAATGAATGGCGTTCAGATACACTTGCATGTGGATGATGGGAAGCCAAGGTTTTGCAAACCTCGTTCGGTACCTTTTCATATTCGGGAACAGTATGAGGCTTCTCTTGACAAGCTCGAACGGGACGGTGTTATTCAGAAAGTTACGCACTCAGACTGGGCAGCTCCTACAGTGCCTGTGAGAAAACCTGATGGCTCCATCCGGGTATGTGGTGATTACTCCGTTACCATCAACAAATGCTCCAAAATGGATCACCACCCACTGCCAACACTAGACGAAATGCTTACCAAGCTATGTGGGGGTGAAAGGTTCACTAAACTGGATCTCTCCCAAGCATACCATCAGCTAGAGCTATCACCAGAATCCCGAGTCTATACTACTATCAACACACACCGTGGTTTGTACGAATTTACTAGATTACCGTTCGGAGTAAATTCAGCAGTTTCAATTTTCCAACGAACCATGGAAAATTTACTAGCGGGTCTTCCGGGTTGCGTCGTGTATATCGATGACATCCTTGTCACTGGGAAGACGGATGAGGAACACGCACAGAATTTGCGGCGAGTCTTACAACGACTTGAGGACGCTGGCATGAAATTGAAACACAGCAAAATTGAATTCATGTCGGATGTTGTGGTCTACTTGGGTCACAAAATATCAGCGCGTGGTGTACAACCTACAGATGAACGGATCGATGCATTGAAAAGCGCGAAACCACCCAAAGACGTAGCGGAATTGCAATCTTTCATTGGGTCTGCTAACTATCTACGGCGATTTATTCCACATTTTGCTGAGCAAATGGCACCACTCTATACTCTGTTAAAACGGGATACTAAATGGAACTGGGGTCCCACAGAACAACAGGCATTTGAACAGATACGCAATGCTATGAGTACCGATGCAATGCTCAGTCATTTCTCCATGACCAAGAATGTGGTTTTACAAGTCGATGCCTCAGGTTTCGGACTGGGCGCTGTGTTGCTACAAGAGGATGAGGATGGTTTCTTGCGTCCTGTAGCCTATGCTTCCCGGGTTCTTACCGCTCCGGAAAAGAATTACTCACAAATCGAACGTGAGGCTCTTGCTTTGGTTTTTGGTGCGAATAAGTTTCGACAATACCTATTGGGCAAATCGTTCACACTCAGAACGGATCATAAGCCGTTGCTCTCACTATTTGATCCACACAATGCAGTGCCTACGCTTACATCAACCCGTTTAAAGAAATGGCGTTTGGTGTTATCCGCTTACGATTACCGGCTTGAATTTGTCAAGGGAAAAGAGAACATTTTCGCTGATTACTTGTCACGTAAACCAACCATGAATGTACCATCAGTTGAGGAGAGTGTTACGGAGGAAATCCTACACTTTGAAACGGAGAATATTCTCACTGCAGATACAGTAGCTACGGAAACTAGAAAGGATCCTACTCTTACTCAGGTTATGCAATACGTAAAATTTGGGTGGCCTGTTAATGTTGATACCAAATTGCAACCTTACTACTCACGGCGATTTGAGCTTACTGTACAAAATGGTGTACTGATATGGGATTCTCGTGTGGTTATTCCGAATTCCTTACAACACCTTCTATTGCAGGATTTACACTCAGAGCACACCGGAATTGTGCGTATGAAGAGAATGGCTAGGCAATATGTATGGTGGCCTGGTCTGGATAGTCACATTGAGAATACCGTGAAATTATGCAGGCTTTGCCAGGAGAATGCCAAGAAGCCAGCAAAGGACCACGGTTCTTGGTCCTGGCCAGCTGGGCCATGGAAACGTCTACACTTGGATTTTGCGGGTCCATTTCTGGGTACTATGTTCCTTGTATTGGTGGACTCGTATTCCAAATATATTGATGTCGTACCAATGAAATCTGCAACTACTCAGGGTGTAATTACAATGTTACGTTCTAATTTTGCTATTTTTGGCTTGCCGGAGCATGTGGTCACAGATAATGGCAGCCAATTCACGAGCGCAGAATTCAAGTCATTCTTATCCAGTAATGGCATCGTGCATACGCTAACGGCACCTGGGCATCCTGCCACTAACGGTTTGGCCGAACGCTATGTGGGACATTTCAAATCTAAAGTCAAGCTCCTGACATCAGAGACTGATTTGTCCTCTGCCTTGTACCGGTTCTTACTCACTCATCGCACTACACCTACGGTGAGTGGCAAGTCACCTGCAACTCTACTAATGAATCGTCAGCCACGAACAAGGTACGATCTACTACATCCGACTACTGCAGCCGCTTTGGATCAGCAAGTGCGTTCATTTCAACAGAATTGCTCGAATACTCCCGAGTATAGTGTTGGTGATGCTGTCTATGCACTGAATTTCAGCAATTATGGGTCGAAGTGGGTACCAGGCGTCGTTCTCAGTATTGTCAGCCCCATGAATTACCGTATTCAGGTTGACGAAGTGGTGTGGAAACGCCATCGGAATCAATTACGGCCTCGTTCCATCCCGGGTGCAATGATTCCCAGTCTGCAACCTCCAGCTGAAGTGGTGGATTCATCGTCTGTGCCGACTCCGCCTATGTCGGTACCACCAGCTGTGACATCTACGCCGCCGGATGAAACACCGGCTCAGTCAACAGCACCTTCTACTCAGGCACCTATAACGCCCGATCTGTCGGCTGCGCCGGCTCCTCATAGTTTGCCGAAACAGCCTGAGCGTACACAGCCCCGTCGAAATGTTGGTAAACCGTTGCGTTATCGTAATGGCTAAGTGTACAGTACATGTGCTGACCAGTCGTGACTGATACCGAACACTTTTTGTAATGTGGATTATGGCCTGGTTTGTGAATACTGATTCTGGACTTTTGAGATCATTCTATTCGCATGTGCATGTATTTCCTTGTACCGGTCTCTGCATAGTCTATTCGCTGTGCATGACAATTACATTAATCTAGACAGTGCTCTGGGCACATGTGCATGTTTGTCCGCATAATTTATTTTCTATAATGCATTCTGTTATGAGCACTGTCCCAGTGTCAGCAAATATTGATTGCATGCCTTTGTACATATTTCTGCTTGCTGTGTTGCTCCATATACCTCCGCTTTGTGGGGGAGGATTGCTATGTATACGTCATACTTCATAATATGATGACTCCTCTTTTCTCTATCATACTGAGCATGCGTCATAACAACATGGTCTTTTGTCCGTCACTACTCTATGAACTGTTTGTGTGTCTGTGAGGTCCGACACAACAGGGGCGAACCCCCTTTCACCCCAGCCAAATGTGCCCCTCTTTTAGTGACTGTCGACTGCATTTTGTTGAATTGCCTGAAAAACAACACAAGTATCGACAAATGAGTAGGTGGGGAGGGGGCTCAATCAGAGCTCAATCAGAGCTGTGCCCCCTACCCTCCTTTGGCTAGAACCCTGAGAAATCCTCAGGTGATGGTCATCCCTTTTCTTGAACTGATCCATATCTCATTCATATTTCCATGGATATGGCCTGTGCCGAGTAAGGCTTGCATGCAGGGAGATAGACCGCTGTTGCTGGTATTCTCTGATTGTGACCAAGACCTAGCCCAAATGCTGGACATCGGACCATATTTTGTGCTTGCTCTATTTATCCTAGATGACCGACATCAAATGATCAAGGAGAGATGATGGATGGTTGCCAAACTCAACCAGAGAATGTTGGCAGTGTTGAAGACATCATTGGGTCACTGCATCATGGAAATGGTATAGTAAGACGGTATTATAGGTACGATGACATCAAGAAACAGGTGATTCCCCGATATGTGCGATTGTTTTGATGAAATTCATTCAGTAGATATTCAGTCTCGCATATGAGCATATCCTAGAGCCATGGTAGCTAACCCATTATTTTGGGATCATATAATGTAAAATGTGCAGACCAAAATGCAACCCGAGCTGCTGAAGTATGCCCAATACTTCAGTGATTTTTTAAATGGATTCTGTTGATACGTTTTATCCTGCGGTTATAAATCACTTATTTCTACGGTCTGATTGCTGCAGAACAGTCAAAACCCACAATGTGCACCGGGCCAAATGAGTAAAATTTTGCTCTGTGCAGACTTTTAAATCAACCTAATTTTTTCCTCCCTTCTTCCATCTAAACGTTTCACTCCCGATTCGAATACTGTAGGAATTCATGCGAAAATTGAATTATATTCAGACCCATGCTGTGATCAAAATTATTGTAGTTTCTCGCATTAGAACCACCCAATGCTGCGGTTTGACTAACATTTTTACTAAGCAACATAGAATGAATTTTCTAGCAAAGGTAAAGAAAGGCAATTAAAAAGTAGGAAATCTGTGGTAGCAATGAAGTGTGAATATGGTTACTCTAAATGTCAGCAGTTATTTGTGTGTGATCTGCTAAACATTCTCCGCCTTCCGGCTATATATGCTCCTAAGTGGCGATTTCAATATATGCTTTGGGATTAATACATGAATCTAAATGATACAAGTAGGAAAGGGAGAGAAATGCACTACCAGTGCAGATACAGCAGGAGCTGAAATCAGGAGCAGTGGATTTCGGAAAAGCAGCGTGCACGGTTGGTTGAAAAAACCTAGAGCATGTTGTACCTTCTGTTTTTACATATTAAATTAAACCCACATGCAAAACTTGTATGGGGGGGGGGAGGGGGGGGGGGGGTAATGAAAGGAGAGAGAGGTGATCATAGCATATGTAGCACCATGCAAAACATTGTCTTGTAGAAATAAAAAGGCTCCAGGCTGTTCAAAAGAGTGCTCAATGTGCTCAATGCGCTCTTGTCGAGAGAAATGAAATGAGAAATTTACAAAACATGATGACATAGACAAAGCTTGCCGCTACACTTGAAATAAACTGCAGGACTCGACGATGGCTTGCAAGCATTGGAGGTCAGTGAAGATAAGGCGACTTTCGTTGATCATCACATAAGTATGGCATGGCCTACATGTTGAAAGTTTAAAGACACAACAATTTCAAGATTTAGTCATAACAAACATATGGTCCAGTGAAATATCCGGCCAAACTGACTCTACTCTACTACTCTATGAACTTGAGGCAAAATATCCCCAAATCAAGCTTCCTTCTTTCGTTACGTTACTTATGCCACTCCGAAATTGGTCAACTAAAATTATCTCCCAATCTGCAGCCTTTTCGTCACTACAGAAGTGAGTAAGGAAACAAGCGGGATGAACACACTCATGCAGCTGTGCTCATATAATTTGGCTCTTAACAATTAGATGGTCTCCCTGCTATATCTACTGCAAATCACCTCAAATTGCATGTCATGTGCATGGGTGACATAGTCACAAATGATGAATTAATACTAAGACTTACCTGATGCTTTGATAAGCTCTTTGTATGCAGCCACAGAAAGGGATGGTATGAAATTCATGATCCAGCTTTTGTAGGCTAGGAGATATAGCGCACTCTTTGGGCAATTGGTCCATATTAAAGGGGAAGTTAAGGCAAAAATTAAAATTTCACCAGTTGTAGTCTTCGGGGTGCTGAGTCGAATGGTCTTGGTCCGAGAAAGCTGAGACGCTCCCTTCCTACTTGAATCCCAATCGAACTCGCACACTTCCACCGAAACTGGATGACTGCGCCCTACTAGATGGGGATTTGTATGCAAAATGTCACTAAAAGCGCCATTTCGTTCTTATAAAAGCACGGATGATGATCGCGATTGGCCCATATGTTGTACTCTTTTGGACGCTGAGTCGACTGGTTTTGGTCCAAAAAGGCTGCGATGCAGCGTTCCTCCTTTATTCCCAATCGAACATGGTTGAACAAGCGGTCACGTGCTCCTGGGTGCCCAAATCACCTGGTCACCACGCCAGCAGGCGACAACTTTCACACCAAGGTTCAGTTCAACTCGAGTGACAGGACTGCACCCAAAAAAGGTCAAACAGGCTAGTAAGTTTTACCCTGCAGGCACGGTGACCAGCTGACTGGTGTACGCAGGAGCACGTGACCGCTTGTTCAACCATGTTCGATTGGGAATAAAGGAGGAACGCTGCATCGCAGCCTTTTTGGACCAAAACCAATCGACTCAGCGTCCAAAAGACTACAACATATGGGCCAATCGCGGTCATCCATACTTTTATAAGAACGAAATGGCGCTTTTAGTGACATTTTGCATACAAATCCCCATCTAGTAGGGCGCAGTCACCCAGTTTCGGTGGAAGTGCGCGAGTTCGATTGGGATTCAAGTAGGAAGGGAGCGTCTCAGCTTCCTCGGACCACGACCATTCGACTCAGCACCCCGAAGACTACAACTGGTGAAATTTTGATTTTTGCCTTAACTTCCCCTTTAAAGGGGAAGTTAAGGCATAAAATGTCACTAAAAGCGCCATTTCGTTCTTATAAAAGCACGGGTGACCGCGATTGGCCCATATGTTGTAGTCTTTTGGACGCTGAGTCGACTGGTTTTGGCCCGAAAAGGCTGCGATGTAGCGTTCCTCCTTTATTCCAAATCGAACATGGTTGAACAAGCGGTCACGTGCTCCTGCGTACGCCAGTCACCTGGTCACCGTGCCTGCAGGGTACAACTTACTAGCCTGTTTGACCTTTTTTGGGTGCAGTCCTGTCACTTGAGTTGAACCTTGGTGTGAAAGTTGTCGCCTGCTGGCGTGGTGACCAGGTGATTTGGGCACCCAGGAGCACGTGACCGCTTGTTCAACCATGTTCGATTGGGAATAAAGGAGGAACGCTGCATCGCAGCCTTTTCGGACCAAAACCAGTCGACTCAGCGTCCAAAAGACTACAACATATGGGCCAATCGCGGTCATCCGTGCTTTTATAAGAACGAAATGACGCTTTTAGTGACATTTTGCATACAAATCCCCATCTAGTAGGGCGCAGTCACCCAGTTTCGGTGGAAGTGCGCGAGTTCGATTGGGATTCAAGTAGGAAGGGAGCGTCTCAGCTTCATCGGACCAAGACCATTCGACTCAGCACCCCGAAGACTACAACTGGTGAAATTCAAATTTTTGCCTTAACTTCCCCTTTAACAAATGAACATGATCACCCGAGTTTAGTGCTAGAACTGAGTGGATTGTCAGAAGGCATGAGGTGTCGATTCAATGTGACATTCCCCGCATGATATGGCAGGAATTCAAATAAATTGAGTGATGCACCCCAGTACATGCGATGAGCCAATCCTAGTAGGCCTTTCAGCCTGGTACCAATGTAGAAATCACTTACCTTTATACTTCAGGAATAGCTATATTAGACTGTCACTGTCATTTGTGCAAATACAGAAGCCACATGATCCATGCTGACTCCAACTACGCCTTAGGTCATGATCGGCATTTTCTGAGGTCGAAGCAACACACATGCACACACACGCACATGTGCACACACACATGCACACACACACACATGCACACACACACATGCACACACACACATGCACACACACACATGCACACACACACATGCACACACACACACACACACACACACACACACACACACACACACACACACACACACACACACACACACACACACACACACACACACACACACACACACAATTTTGGCACGAAACAGTATCATACTACTGTTACGAATTATTTGTATTACAACTATGATTTACGCATGTCGTTGTATTTGGTTCTTGTCTTGTGGAGTCCAGTGTCTGATGTCATATATGGTCTAAGTGTACGCGCGAGTATGGTGTGATGTGTGACGTTTATGGTATGTGGTGCATGCAAGAGTATGCGTTGTCAGAGTGTGAGGATGTGCTTCCGTCTGTGTGAGAGTGACTGTCAAGTGAATGCTGTACATGCGCAGTGCTAGTTTGGTCTGGGAATGAGAGTCTGTGATTCGTCCGTGGTCTGGTTGTCTTGGTCTTGGTCATGTGTTCTGTACGTATTCGTCCCTGATTGGTCGTCGGCTTATTACTGCTTGTTCGTTGTTGTTTCTTCGAGTCTTTTCTGGAGTCTTTTCGAGAGTCTTTTCCCGGGAGTCTTTTCGAGAGTCTTTTCCCGGGAGTCTTTTCGAGAGTCTTTTCCCGGGAGTCTTCCCGTTGTCCTTTTTGTCCTCACCAAGTTTGTCTCTCTCCTCCTGCGCCCTCGTCATTTCTTGGTATAATATAAGAGTATTGAAGATACAATCAAGAGTTTGCGTTGTTGTGTGGCGGGGGCCAGGGGGAGAAGCATTTCCTTTACACTCCTGTGAGGCATGAGTCTATGAAGCTGTGAACCACTTAAAATGCACCCCTAGGCCTAGGCTCTGGGCTATGTCCTTGGAGACTATCAGTAGTCCAACTTGGAACAACTTGGGAGGTACAACAGAGTAGAGCAGAGGAAGAAGAACACGCAAATTGGCTAAACTTCGTAATACAGAATATCCTCAATTACGCAATATCCAATGCACTTTACACCAGGATTATGTGCAGAGCAAGTGACGTTGTAGGTTCCGAGATATAAATTATGTTATCTCGAATATGCCCAGTGTGCTCCACACATGCATACAGTCATGTTCCCACTCTTTCTCAACATTTCCTTTCTCGTTTTATTTATCCTACTCCATGATGTGTACTGCACATGTTCACCACATTCCTGTTCCCCTACAATGCTATTGCATGTACATGCAGGGCGCGAAATAACGGACAATTTTTTTTCAGACAATTTCCGACCGTTTACGGTCAGTTTCCAGATGTTTTGTACATATCCGCACAAAGTGTCCGCGCACCTTTTTGCAAAGTACAAAAAAGAAAAGGCACTTCAATCCTTTGTCTCATAGTCATTAGTGATGTCGTCTGGCAAGAGAAAGCCAAGCACCGCTGATGCAGGTGCTCCTCTTGGAAAGAAGCCCAGAGGAGTCAAGACGACCACTTGTGACAAGTGGGTCGCCGCCGAGTATGATAGGGAGCTTTCAACTTCTGTTTGGCTGAGCTATGAGCGCAGTCCCTCAGATCGTAGCGTTGTCGAAAATTTGAAGTGTAAGATGTGTTCCCGTTTTGTTGATAAAATTCGCAGCAGCAAGAATTTTTCTGACTCCTTCGTCATTGGCTCAAGGAACCTGAAAACGTCAGCCTTCAAAGATCATGCTGCGTCTGAAATGCATCGTCGTGATAACATTTCTATGGTATTAATTCTACACTGAACATTGTGTGATTTGATGTGAAAGTTGCATGTCCGGACATGTCCGGCCATTTTTGCAACTGGCAGGACATTGTGTCAGAGCATATTTTAATCCTTAGCGCATGCCCTGTGCATGTATATGCTGAGGAAAGTCAGTAATTATAATTATCATGACACCTGCCAGGTTCCCCTCAGTCTTGCTACTGCATAACTGTGCAGGGGTGTAGGGCACGCTACAGTCACCATGGATCGTATTCATTACCACTTTCCGTCCACCCAGGTACTGTGAAATTGTGAAATGCGATTGTTTGTGTGTATGGTGACACCGTTGAATTCTCAAGGAGAGAGAGAGAGGGGAGGGGAGGGGTGGCAGCAGACATTCCGGTAACGGCTTACCTCTGGTTGGCTGCAGCTTCGAAAGCCCTGCCTGATGGGCCAGTGATGCCCCTGCCAGATGTTATACTCTCCCCCCCGTGTTGCAAGCTGATCAGTTCCCTATAGCAACAATATGTGTGAAGGGGATAGTGTCCTACTAAAACTTGACATTCATTCCACTTAGTGAAAAGCACAACGCAGTACCAACACAGTGTGATCTATGTGAAAACGAGAGAAGCCGTAGGGGCGTCGGACATGGTAAGGTCACTACAGTATTGACCGTACCACTTTTTGCCCCAGGTAGTCTACCCCGTGAATTAAAATACACTGATCTGGGCTCTAAAATTCCAAAATTTTCGGCTCAGCACCCCTCTCCTGCGAGCAAAGTGTACTTCAGATTGCTGACCGTACCACACTTAGGCTGTGTTTACATGAGAAATTTCAACCCGGGTCGAGTTCAGCCCGGGTTGAAAGTCTGTACGATAGACAAAATGGGTGAGCGTTTACATGAAGACAGTTGACCCGGGTCAAATACTGATATGCCGCCAAAAGTCCACTTCTAGAGTCCTGTATGGTTACGTGAATCCGTTCGCGCGAAGTTTGCATGTGCAGTGCTGTTTCGCTGTACGATTTTCTTGACCCGGGTTGATTTCTACCCTCCCCTTGGGGGTAGGGTTGAAATCAACCCGGGGCGAAATTTCAACCCGGGTCAAGCGCAATGCGTCATGTAAACGCGCCATTCATTTTGTGCACATAGCGGGTTGAAATCTGACCCGGGTCGAACTCAACCCGGGTTAAAACGCCTCATGTAAACACAGCCTAAAATACCTTCCGACGCTCCTGGAAGGGCGACCAAACACAGGGGACGTATCGCACTCCAAAGCACCCGTGACCGAGTATGTCAACGCAAGGGTGACGGTGAGATGCTTCCAGTAAAGGTCTAAGTCAACACCCTGCACGGTGTTTCTTACCTGGGGACTAAATGCCACTGAGGCCTAAACTGAAAAGCTGATGCCACAAAGATAGCGTCGGAACGAGTCGGCAGCGTCGGAACGAGTCAGCAGCAATTATTACCGCACCTTCGCTGCAGCTCCCATGAAGATGGAAGACGTCCACGCTGCCGTAGAGTGTTGTTTTCGAACTCCCTTCATTGGAATTTTCTTCCCTGGATCATTTCTTGCGGACTTGGCAAGGAGCAGCAGGTCGATGAAACGCAGTACCTAATGAAGCAAAGGCCATGTAGCCTAGGTTCACAATGATGCAAATTGAAATTCGTTCACGCCTTCAAAAGAAAGGGAAGTGCCACAGCTTCGGCCACTCACTAACAACATGCAAGGAAGGAGTGAACGAATTCGCGAAGGGCACAAAGGTTCCAATGACAACACTTACAGTAAACATACTATTCATACTAGTACTAGTACTAGTATGAATAGATGAATAGTATGGTCCACACGACGGGTACCGGGTACGGGTAGGATATCCTGCCCGGAATTGAACTCACCATTTTGTGTGCTTTAGCCGACACTGCACGAGGATGTAACCTTCGAGCCATTCCGGTTCACCTCACCGAGAGGTAAGACCGAGGGCTGACTGTTGATGAGCGCGTAGCCTTGGGCGGTTCAGGAATATTGGCTGTGTGCGCCAACAGGAAAAGCCGTCTCTTCGACTACCGACTCCGTTCGACTATAACAGAAGAAAAGGAGTACACAATACCTCCATAGTGAAAAGTACATAATGCAACCTGAAGAAAGTGACGGGTATCAACACCAGTCCTGTTGTACACGAACCTTGCTCGGGTCGCGTCCTGAAGACATACCGGCCAAGATGAAGATACTTGGCTATCTGTGAAAAGTTTCCTCCTCGGCTTCAGTGGTCTTGGCCTCAGTGGATGGAACAAACTGAATGCTAGACCTCTCTACCTGTTCCTTCTTACCCTCGTCGTAGATCTACTGAGTCTGTAGCCGTTGTCTAGTGTATACATGTAGTGAGTAGTGACTAGTGGTGTTATGCGCTCTTTACGTTTACCCGCGAAAATTCCACCAAGGCGAGGCAAATGAGCATGAGGTGCGATGTTTCGCATCTGGTTGCAGACTTGCTAAATTGTGTAAGTGACTTATAATGTCTACCGTAACGGGGTGAGGTTAGTGCGGGCTAAGTCACTAAGTATGTGTGATTTCGGCAAATCGGCTACTAGTACTACAGACTGTGTATCATTTCGTCTTGGGCCAAGTTGGGGGTTAGACAAGGGGAAGTAAGTAGCCATGTAGCCTTTGTAGGGGTAGACCTACCCTACAAAGGGTACGGGTGTGTGTTGTTGTGGTGCATCGATGGCGAAGTGTTAGTGTTACCAAGAGTCCATAACCATGATAACGCAAGAGTATGCAACTGTGATTAGGGGTGCATGCGCATATATGCGTGGCGCGCTGCCTTCATTACGTAACTATTGCCTTCATCACGCTCTGAAAGCATGCATTCAAACTCTCAAATTCTCGCACGAGCCCATCCGTTTTTGTTCGATTCGTTCCAGTACCTACACAATCTCTGAATTCTGGCGCGTGAACTCCAGTTCCGTACGAAAGTTCATTTCAAACTGGAGGGAAAGTGCGGTGTTTGACTTTCCGCAGTGCGCGGACTGCAGCTGAATGATGTAATGAAGGCAGCGCGCCGCGCATCTGGCCCATAGAAAAGAGATCACAGTTGCATACTCTTGGGTTATGGACTCTTGCTCTTGGTGTTACCCATGCCATGGCCATGCTGCCCCGCGATCATTTTTTTCTCTCTTTCGACGTTTCAGGGATTTGTCCGGATGGCACTTGACAGTCTGTTTGACGCCTTCCAGACCTCGCAGTACTGGTTGTACATGTATCATGGCGTGTGTTTGGGTCATAACAGTCCACCGCAGTGCTAGCTAGCTACACACCAGGGAGTCGTAGGGTCTATACGACTCCCTGCTACACACATAACAGTGTAGTGTAGAGCAGGGCTAGCTTTCACGACTCCCTATCCCTGGTGACGGACTCCGCGTGGTGTAGACTATGTGGGCTGGGCAGTGGATCGTTAGACTTTCCGTGCTGGAAAAGAAAACTCGTTTCTTTTATCACCTCCTGAAGTAGCACTAGCAAGCTGTAGTTGAAAGGAGAGCCACAGAATAGCTGCGAAACATGAGTGGAGGCGCAATGCTGCGCTGCCTGATCGCGCTCTTTAGCGCTTGGTATGGTGTTGTGGCGGCCGGCCGCGAGCCAAACGCCTCTCCGAACTTCGTGGTTCTGTTCGCCGATGACATGGGCTATGGTGAGAAGGAGAGCTTTAGTAGTAGTACAGTAAATCTTGCAACTATCGATCACCCATCGGTTCCCCCAAAAGCCGTCTTTACTGGCAGGTGGTCTTTAGTTGGAGGCTTGCACCGCACTGCCACAATGTGGATCCCATTATGATAATCATTAATGTATGTCAAAATGTAGCTAATACCCCACCATGCACTTGCACAATGCAATTTCTGTTACTGATCACACAATATAGAGAGAGGGAAAGAGAAAATTATGTTTTATTGGTTATATCAAATTCAGTTGCTACTTCTGAAGCCAGGAGCCAAGCGTTCCATAGCCCCTGCTGAAGTTTGGCTTGGCGCTGGGCTTCATCTATGTTGATGAGATCACTGACACTGGGCTTATCAACAGTCATTGCCACAGTAGCCAAGCTATGCTGCAACGTACCCCAGCATGCTAGCACTGCAGTGTTCATTTGCGTGACTAGGGCATGTGATTGCACTTCCATTGCAGTAGTGGGTGATAAACTACTGCAGAGAGAAAGTTGTCAAAGTATGCATGCATCAGAAATGATATAATATGATAAAATAAATCTCACGGTGAGCGTAGGACTCGGTCGGATTGAATTTTCCGCATCCGCAGAAACGCCGCTACCCTCAAGGATCAAGGCGCAGATGCAGCTCCTGAAGCGGTGGGAAATGAGTAGATCAGACCCACCACAGAGTGATTATTAATTCCCTTTCAATTGTTAATCTATGTTACCATCGTGGCGGGCCATGAGATCCCAATCAACTGTGGTTTGCAGCACGCTTGAACAAATTCTTCCACTTCCAAATAGGACTTGAGCCCGGTACCCTCTCTTTCTCGGGAATAGTCTTTGACAGTTCCACTATGGACAATGCAAAACCATCTGACCTTGTTCCGAGAGACCAGGTGACAATGACAAAGTAATGATGACTTGGTTTTGTTCTGTTTCAGGTGACTTATCAGTGAACGGACATCCAACCATCCGTACACCTAACATTGATCAACTTGCCCATGGAGGCATTCGCTTTTCCCAATGGTCAGTACTCGAACTCATCATAGTTTGTAAAGCCAGGATGGTGTTTTGGCCCTAGTCTGTGGATGTGCAGGAGTAAACCAGTATCAAGAGTCTTGCATGACCACGAGTTGTACACAACTATTGTGCTTGCCATGGACCAATGTACAGCTGTTTTCTTTCAATCCATCATCAATATTGTAGCATGAAGTGATCAGGCACATTGTACATCCAGGTTTTCACAGACATATGGTATGCTTTAGTTCATCAGATTTAGAAACAGTAAATATACTCTCCTTTGTGTCACTTTGTGCTAGGTGATATCCCACCCGAAGTGCAAACCTGCCATTCTGAACTGATTCTCGTTACATCACTGCATTTGTACATGTGTAGACAATCTAGTCATCTGTGCACCCAGAAAGAATTTGAACAAGCCATGCTATGTACTGTGCCAAGGAGCCTTCCTTCCAGGGTGTCAAGCACCATGCAAATCTGTGGTGCCAGATATGCACGCACTTTGAGTCGGTTTTCACCAAGTGCAACTATAGCATGTTTGCAACATAGTGCGTGTGAGGGACACTTACTTGCCTCTCATGTATTCCTAATATTTCCTTTGCTTCTGTATCTTCTTGTTGCATTTGTTAACATTCTGGTCTTGAGTATCAATTAATCCATTCCTTCAACCTTCCACAGTCTGACAAAATGATGATTACTAGCATAATTGTGTGCTTGCTTCACTCAGGTACTCAGCATTCCATGTCTGCTCTCCATCTAGAGCAGCCATGTTGACTGGAAGATTGCCAATTCGTTCAGGCACTACCGGTGCTGGCTGGACAGGTGGTGTGTTTGGAGCCTCGGCAGTTGGTGGTCTGCCTCACAATGAAACTACATTCGCTGAGGCACTGAAGACTGCCGGATATGCTACAGGAATGGTGGGAAAGGTAAGCGCATATATGTTCAACATAATTATGTTGTCATTGATAACATGCTTTGTGTAATTATGCTTTTGGGTAATTCTTCAAATATCTGACCAATTCCGTAAAATGTAACTCAGATAATGAGCCAGTAGTAAATGTAAAATAGAAGAAGAAAACACAAGGAAACGAGTTCCATAATAGCTGATGGTTCTTTGTATGTCTCTGTACTCTCTGTCGCGCAAACTGGTGTTGCCATGCTCTTTTCTGAGATTATGCTGCCATTGATCTCAAAATTATGGTCTTACTCAAACTGGAAAAGAGATGTACTCGTACAAGATATTTTTCAAATGATTTGAAGTGATTTCTGAAGGACACACTGTGTTCTGTTGGTGCTGAAGCTTGATAGGTTTTTGATTGAGCCTGAGGGTGAGCAAGGCGACTTAATGGAGGGTGTATTGGCTCCTCTTTTCACAGTCATAATTTTCATTCTTATGTGTATGATTGTGGCTGGTATAACTCGCACCATTCATTTTCCCCTTAGAGAAAGTAAAGTAGTATACCTAGCAGTATAGATCACAGCCAGCAGCTGTAGACAAGAGGAGGGCTACGATTGGGCATGGTCAAGGCCCCTCTGTGCTGGTTCAATGGTATTTAAGTATAGCATCACTAGTCCAGTGGAACTAATGGTCTATTCTGCACTTGTATCCACTACAGTGGCATCTTGGCCAGAAGCCAGAGTTTCTGCCCACCAACAATGTAAGGTCATTACTATAACTGTTGTAAATGGATTTATCATCATCACGTTGGTGTGGCCATATTAAATGCTTTTTTCCCTATATGCTTTACAAATCTGTGAACTGTTTACAGCTGGATGGAGCATATGGTGTTTGGCACGTGTCTACCGACACTTACAGACTACGACAATATCATTATAGAGGGAGAGCTGCAGGTGGAGTTTTCAAATTAGCCTACCCGCACATTGTACACTGTAAATGGATTACATCGCCGAATACTGCTAAAAATTATTTGGATTGATGTGAGTTTGCCAGATCAGTTTTGCACAGACTTCAAAGCTTAGGTAAAGAAATTTTTTGCGCTATGAATGCTGGGATGATCAACTTTCTGGTTCACTTTACGTACGTTCTTGCAGGGATTTGACGAGTACTTTGGTCTACCTTACTCAGATGGTAAGTGATCACATTGCACTGGGAAACAATTTTGAAGTTACATATAGGAAAGATACCAGCCAACACAGGGGAATTTTTCCTGAGTACACCGTGGCAATACCTGGTAGACAGCTTCCCTTCAAATTCTGCATACAACTGCTTATTTGCAACTCAGAATTATGTGCAGAGAATGACCAGCAACAGCCCATCACTACACGTACACGTTGTTTTCCGTTTTTCAATCAGATAACCTTTCATTCAGGTGTGTTGCATGCGAGATGTGCAGTTGGTTCAAGTTTGGACCGTAGATATGTGTGAGTCAAAGCCTTTTTGATTTTATCTCCAACAGACATGGGAAGCAGTGCCTGGTCACACTACGACCGAGGCGACAGACCCCCTCTACCGCTGCTGCACAATACCACAATAATTGAGCAGCCAACGGATCTTGGTACGCTTACACAGGTGAGTTGTGCACATGCCGCGTGTAAGTTAATCAATATTCTCCAGCACGTAGCATTGATAATTTTTGGAGTCCATTGTAAAGGTTGCATACAGGGTTCAGTAATTCATTGCAAATTAATTGCATATAAATTGAATTAAGTTCCATTAAGTGGATTTCACTTTTAGTACAACATCTTTGGCCAAGTCCTATTTGTTACTTATGAATTGATTTGGAGACAACACTTATATAATTGTATTAGGTCCTTATAGCGATGCACAGAACAAACTGTGCCAATTTTGTGCATTACCTGTATCGTTTTCTGGCATTGGAGTGTGAAGTCATATGGTGGGGGTTCTACTAACCTTGTAGCAGCTCCCGAGGTTAGGATATCTCAGGACATACATTGGTGCTTCAAAAATTGCGTTTGCCTCTCTCTAATTGTATTTGTGATGTGTTTGCAGCGCTATGCCCAGTACGCATCTGACTACATCAATCGCAAGAAAGATGAGAAGTTTGTCCTGTACATGGCCTTCAGTCATGTGCACACTCCCAACTTCGTCTCCAAGGAGTTCTGCAACACCAGTGCCAGGGGAAAGTTTGGAGACGCCGCTGCAGAGATGGACAACGCTGTTGGTGTGATCATGAAAGCTCTTGATGATGCTGGAGTTCGCAATAATACTCTGACTTTCTTCACAAGGTAACAGTGCAAATATGTACAGCTCTGATTTAGACTAATCACCACCACAGTCTACAGCAATTCAGAACAATACACGCACTTGAAACAATACACGCACTTGAAACAATACACGCACTTGAACGTTCTTCACAAGGTACATGTACGTAATTATGGAATACTCACTTTCTCTATTTTGTCCTGTGGACACACCATAACAGCCCCCCCCCCCCCTCTGGAATTTGGGATTAGGAATTGTTTGATCAATGGCCTAGTTGCATAGGTAGGGATATCAGCGAACGCACTGCGCAGCCCATCTGCGCAGGTCAGCCTGGCCCATCTACGCGCGGCCGACAAGAAAACTCATGAACACTTTCATTTTTTTGCAAAATAAATCGTGCGAAGAAGATGCACGGAATGGCTGAAAACTAGGCTGAGGAATAGTAGCATCCAGAGACTCTCAAACAAATTCATGGTCCATCGCTTCTGACAATGGCAGCGAAGACATCAGGGAGCTTATTGCAGCAACTCTCTACCAAGCGCGATGCTGGTTACTCACCAGGGCAGGGCGCTTCCATCGCGCAAGAAATGGCCGCGAGCGAGAAATGGAAGTCCGATTTTGGAACGATCCAACCAGGGAAATTCCTTGAAAATTGGCCTGAACACCTCTCATACTGGTGTTTCACGATGTGCAAACTTTCAGAGAAATCGACCGGGGAGAACGTGGTACGTTCGTGGGTCCTCGAGTATCGCGTATGATTTGAATGGTCGCGGGGACAGAAGAACAGTAATTATTTTACGACTCCCAGCGGTGCAAACAGACCGCGGCCATGTTTTCTCTGTCGGCCGCGATCACGTTCAAAAAATCGATGACGCAATGCATGCGCAGAGGCCTGCGCAGTGCGTTCGCTGACATCCCTAGCATAGGGCTCGAAAAAGGTAACATCCAAATCAGAATACCAGTAGTTGGAATTTTTGGTCAGAATGCTGTTCCGCTAGGCTTATCTCGTGCGCTGGTGAGTAGTTGATGCACTCTGCCCATGCCTGCTTCCTGCCCTCACTTCATCACACAGTCCATGTCTCTGCGTCATGCAATTGTACAAACATAATAGATAGGTAAAGTGCTTCAAACTTGTGTCCATTTCATTTTCATTTTTAAGGTTCCCTACAATGTTGCCTTGATCACTTTGAAGTACTTGTCACGTGATTTGTTTCTCAACATGCTTCCAGCAGGGACTCAACATTTTCTTTTGACCTTGTTTGCCCTGTTGCAGTGATAATGGACCCTGGTTGATACAGAAACTGGAAGGAGGCAGTGCGGGTCCTTTCTATGAAGGCAAGACAACAACCTGGGAAGGTGGCATACGCGAACCAGGCATTGCTAACTGGCCAGGGACAATTGCGCCTGGGAGAATTGCACAGCAAGTTGTCGCCACATATGACATCTTCCCAACCATGATGAAGGTGAATCTTCTTCTGCGTCAACATAACCATTTTATATCAATATCTAGTATCTACCCAAGCTTTACTTATTCCACTGGTCTGTGAAGAAGGCTACTGCATGTTTACAACTTTGCCTTATCCTGATTACTAGCCCGAGGCACAGTTTCCACCAATCTAACACAACATACTGCCGGGCTTGTGCTCGATGTCAGTGCAAGTTGCAAAATACCTGTATTTGAATCCCATGCCTGCTGCCTGTTTCGTTCAATGATGCAGCTGGCCGGCGTGCCACCTCCCAAGGATCGCATCATTGACGGCAAGGACATGTCACCAATCTTCAGCGACCCCACCGTAGCAAGTCAACATGATTGTATCTACATCTACAAGGGAACACCTAACGGAGGTGAGTGCATGCTTGTGTATGTGTGTGTATGTGTGTGTGTGTGTGTGTGTGTGTGTGTGTGTGTGTGTGTGTGTGTGTGTGTGTGTGTGTGTGTGTGTGCGTGACGGTGTGCTTGTGTGTGTGTGTTCACACAATATGCGTGTGCATATGGTTGTTGCACAATTCATGTGAACTCATATCTAGTCAGGGTGGAATTTATCTATCTTTTCAGCCACCGGAAGTGGCAGTTTGCATCAGTGCAATGCAACATAGCTGCTGCGGGGACTGTTTGTAGTCAACAAGCCTAGCATTGCGTGTTTTCCGAGGGGGAAACCCTTTTGGTGATTGATTTCATTGTTTTCTCTGTTAGATGCTCAGCCTGGCTTGTGGGCTGTCCGCTGTGGATCATACAAGGCTCATTTCGTCACCAACAACCACATCAACACCACAGCTGTCATGCATGACCCACCACTGCTCTATCATGTAGAGAGAGATGCCACCGAGGTCTACGCACTCGACCCAAAGTCTACCGAGTACTTGAGCAACATGGCAACAATCATGGCCGCCAGGCAAGCTCATCTGGCCTCTCTAAAACATGTGCCGAATCAAATGGCCATGGGAGAAGATCCAAAGCAGAAGTTAGTAACATATCGTACTGGCGGTATTCTCTTCTGTGTTGCCACTGGACTTAGGCTGGCTGTACAGATGAAAAGGCCCGTACAGCCCTGGTGTTTAATGTCTTTAACTGTCACTGACCTTACTCTGATAAATCCATGGTGTTATCAACAATGCCGAAAACTCTGTAGATGTATGTTAACTTGCGAATCACGTGACAAACTTATGGTGATCTCACACAGACAATAATCCGCTGGCTAGGCTAACATACTACAGGTGTGTAAAGTGAAGTCTAGACCGATGTGCACTCGCAGCACTGGCACTTGAACTGAATTTGGTGAAGTGGCGTCTGCGTACTAGGGACGGTGCTAAGAACGTGCGTCGGTTCAAATTTAGTTTGCCACAACTGTAGCAGGTCAATTTGTATAGTAGAGTCTTGCTTTCTGAACTCCAGTCGCGTCGTCACATCAAGTTTGAGCCTGGCATCATTTCACAGCCCAGTGTTCACAGGGCTAGGGCATCACAACGCCTGATGTGTACTTGATTGACGTGACTGGATTTCATTGAGCACTGAGGACTGTACATGTGTTATCAGTGTAGTAGAATCACTGTAAAGACACGCCCAAGTAGAATGTGCAGGATGTGCAGGATGTGCAGGATGTGCAGGATATGTGCAGGATATGTGCAGGATATGTGGGTCACACAAGGTATGTAATCAAGCACGCTCAGGAGGTCATGATGGCTGAATCTTGCCCGAGCCTGCAGCCCAAGGGCCGTAGGCCCGAGGGCTGCAGGCAAGGGCAAGATTCAGCCATCATGACAGACAGAGCGTGCTTGATTTGATTTCTTACAGCGCGAAGCAACATATTAGCAAGAGTTCATAACCCTGGGGGTTATGAACTCTTGATATTAGGGAAGGTCAAAGGTGGAAAGGTCGAAGGTCGAAAAATTATTCTCGAAATGACGTCAAACGGTCCGAACATTCCCGAAATGACGTCAGACGGTCCTGATACAGTCGTCCCTCTCTAATCCGGCACTTGTTTATCCGGAACCCTTGCCAACCGGCGCACTTTCTGACGAAACCGATTTTTTTCGTTCGATTCCTACATCTTAATCCGGCACTTGAATTCCGCCTCCGGCAGTGACTTTTTGAAACGAATCGCTCAAACTGCACGTAGTTTGATTTCATAATCCGGCGGTCGTCAATCGCGTACCGGTGCACTCCTTGCCAGGCCAGGCTAGGCTAGGCCAGTCTGGTCAGTGCCGCGCGCGCGGGGCCACTTCAGAGTTCAGTTCAGTTGACTGGAGTTGCGGTGCCACAATCACTGCTGCAGACCTGACTGCTGTATTTTCACAATTCGCTGACAGCAAGTACATGTAGTAGTGTGCTGCCAATTTTCAGGTGTGTTTGTGCAAGAGTACATGTGAACATGTTCTCTGTTTTACTTTATCACTTTATCACTGTGTATATTCCTGGAGAACAGTTGAGAATATAAAGCCGTGCACCAAATACTTGGGTTGACACGGAAAAACCCTGCGTTTTGACGTATGATACATGCATGGGTAGGGCCGAGTCAGAGGGCAGGATTTCTTAATCCAGCACCCTCGTTAATCCAGTAGAAAACGCCGTAGCAAAAGGTGCCGGATTAGAGAGGGACGACTGTACTCCCGAAATGACGTCAAACGGTCCTGATGGCCTGACTATGCCCGCGGCGGGAAGATCGCCTATTGGCCATGGCCCCGGCAACGATCACGTGTCATGTAAGAATTGTACATCTATACAATCAGCATGTCTATGTGCCGTGGTGCACAACCAATCGTGTACTCTGTATACACAGATGCCTTCCCGTATGCACGCGTACACCAACCTCTACACACTCTGCGCTGCCCTAATTAGTAGGGCTGAAACGATCATCCATTTAGCCCAATCGATTACTCTTTATCATAACGATCGATTATTCAATTATAATCTTTACGAGGCCGCACCTGGAATATGTACGTGGAATGGCCAAAAGTGGAAATAATTATGTACAACATTTTGCACAAAAAATTGTAGACCGGACGCGACCTTGACCTTCGAGCTTCATGCTCCAGCTCCGTTGTACTACACTAGGACTGTACTCGATGTTTGAACTCGCGCTGCATGCACTGCGCGCATTAGAAATTAAAAATTTAAAAAACGCAAAATAATCGTAATCGGTAATCTAAACGACTGCTCGATCGTTAGAGTTATCAAACGAGTACTCGATTATTCGGTATAGTCGTTTCAGCCCTACTAATTAGCCATCCCAGCTACATATTCAATCTTTGTGCAGGTGCTGGCTGCGCTAGAAATACAAGTCACATGATTGCTTCATATTTGGGAATTTCATTCTTTCAGTAATGGGGATTTTTGGCACTTGTGCCAGTGGTTGTGAGACGTACCCCTCACCACCACTGTTAGGCGCTGCATCTGCCACTGGGTTTACCGGGTGTAGCGGCTGTCGTGAGTTCCCTTTGGGAAAGGAATCCACAATTTGATCAATTGTTTTACCCTTTTAGACTTTTAGTTCTTGTTTCCATAATATGTTCTTTACTGACTCTTTCACTCAATCGGCCTTCAACTAAACCAATCAGTCTTGTTGTTATTGTAATGATGATGGTGATGGCGATGTCATGATGCACAACTGTTAGTGATGATGATGTCATGCTGCATGGTGATGATGATGATGTTGTGCTGCTTTGTGGAACCTCTCTCATGATTTGTGTGTTTTCTAATGGTGTGTGTTGTGTGTAGGCTATGCTGTGACTGGGACAGCAAAAAGAAGTATCCCAAGTATCAGGAGTGTACGTGCAACCCTGACAACTGGGAGGCATGGACGTGCGGAAGGCCCATCCTGCAAGCTCTCACCACACCCAATCTTCAATGAATGTGTCATCAATTTTAATTATTGTATTTATACGCGTATTCGTATGTTCTGAGTGAGAAAAGTACATCAATCGTACTTGAATTATGCGCCAAACACATTATCGCCTCCACCTGGGCGTTCTAGCCTATGATGCAAACTGCCACATTAAACATAATGTAGTGATCAGTGCAGTGGTGTGCCGTTCTCAGAATTCTTCACTGTCTATGCTTCCATAGTTCAGCAACTGTTGTCCTCGTGTGAATTTTTGTTTCGTTTCATACCGCTTAGCACATTGATGTCCGTTTGTCGCAATGTTCATTTTTTTGGAAGCTTCATAAGCGAAATCCTCAATGGAATTTGGTTTGGCTAAGCAAGCCCTGTATCGTATGTCACAGTGGTCAATAGAATTATTTGGTTGGCTAAGCAATGGATGGATTTCTGTGCATGACTAGTACTGTACAAGTACAAGTAGATAAGACATAGTCAAATGACACCATACATGCATTTCATGCATGGCACGGCGCACTGGTTGATTCATGGCCAGCATTCGGAGTCTTAGCCGCAGGGGCGAGTTTTGAGTTTTTTTAGGCGTTTCAAAGTGTGGCTGGCTAACACACCGGAAAATACGGTGGCTACCCTAGGGCCACGTCAGGAATTACATAGTACATATCTGTACCGAGGAAACACACTTTGACTGTTCCATAGTTTACTACAGATATTATGTGGATCTACATACACATTGTGCATGGCATTGTAGTACAGTTGAACATCGATTATCCGCACATCGACTATCCGACCATTCGATTATCCGTTACAGTTTTTTTGGGCGCACTTGCCCCAGAGTACGCACTGTGCATGTAGTGAGCCATTCAAAAAATACGAAAATTTTGAAAAGTAAAAAGTAAAAAGGTCGTGCGGCTAGTAATAACCACTGAAAGTGTGTGAGTGACAGTTTTTTCTTATCCGGAACATTTGCCTTATCTGAACACCGCCTGACAGTTGTCTGCCCAGAGGTGGTCGGATAATCGATGTTCAACTGTACTATGTTGCTCAATGAAATCCGATCGGGTGAACCAAGTTTGCCCCACTGCCACCACTGCACCAGTCAGTGGATAATCCCAGTGTTCGCAGGTTAAGGGCTGCGCACTGCAGCGTCCGGCGTGGCATTGACTCGCTTGATCGGATTTCATTGAGCAGCTCCCTACATGCATGCATGCCGTCATGTTATAACTCGGAGGCCGTGAGAGTCTACATAATACTTGTAGGTGCTCTACGCAATAGTCTTAGCCCGGGACAAAAGAGAGGTAGAATTATTCTGCACATCACCAGGTGCCAGATCACTTGCCTTGGCACTCGGACTCTGCGCTGAGTAGTGCCACTGGGTAGACATACCCCTGGCACTGGCACTGCCCTGGCACTGCACTGGGTAAAACCCTGCCTACACTATGATAAAAAATTAGAGATTAGTTTCCTCGCCCTACGTCATTAGATCACGTGTCACTGCCAGAACTCAGTCATCCTACGTCATTTCAGATCACGTGCTTCGTGATACAGTTATTATTGTCGTATTGACAGCATTGTGCGACATGTATGTGCAATCATGACTGTGGTCATGGTGAGCTGAGTCAGGATACTGGATAGTAGTGTGATATTCTCTCCCAGTACTGCCAGTATAGTAGAGCAGTAGATCATGGTAGATCTACCAGACTGGTATGTCAACATGACATTGTGGATATGATAAATTTTGCGGCATGTGCTCCTATACGTAGATCTACGGACGATCGGATGGGGTTTATGAAAGTAACTAGTAATTACTCATCATGCTTACCGCTGTACCGGTACTTGATGAGACGACCGCGTAGCTTGCCCAGTCACGGCCACCTCTTTCATTGCGTGGTCCACAGGACTTGCAGACTACTTCGAGTTCCACCGGGTAATGGCGAGTTGGACTTGCATTATATTTAGGCTTATTCAGAATTTCAACCAGCCTACAACAAGTGTCTAAGAAGGTGGCATTGCATCAATGAAATCCAGTTTTCCTCCTGAATGCCTCAATGACGTGACTTGGCTGCGAGAAATCGAAGAAACATCGGATCGAGTACTAGTAATAAGTCCATATTGAACGACAGAGCTCAGTTCCCTCCCAGCTGCCCGCGCGGGATAGAAGTCTCAGTCCGGTCGTCTGTCCGTTTCAGAGCCGTCGGATTCGTCAGAGGGAAATTCAATACAGTTTGTGCAGGAGGCGGAGGGAGTTGGAGATTGGGCTGGTCGTCTACGTAATGTAACATGGAATCCAGAATGCTGCCACATAGAAGGGGAATTTCGACGGCTCTGTACGCGCTACTCCTCTTGCTGAGCATTGCTCACTGCGCAGACTCTCAGCCGTGCAGTACTGTATACGTGAAGCTGGGAGACGCCAGTGTGCGTGACAGCGATGTGTGTGGTGCAGTTGTATCTGATCCATGTGCTACAATTCTAAGAGCACTGATAAACAGCGGTGCCGCTAGTAGTTATGTTGCTGCTGGAGAAAGCAATTGTACATTTGTGTCACTACAGCCTTCACGCTACAATTCGGCCATTGCTTGTGAGCACATCTACCACATAGATGCAGTGACAATCGATGGATCCCAAGCTGCTCAGATTCCTCTCAGATTGGCAAATTGCGTCGAACCGAATCATGACATCCATTCATCGTGGCTGTTCTTCAACAGCGTATCTAATGTAACATTTCAAAACCTGGAGTTGAGCCTGAAGAACTTCAGCGGATACAGTGGTCTGAGCGTTGAGTACTCTGATAATGTGACAGTAGTGAACAGTACCCTGCGCTACCCGACCATCAATACATCGGCTATCTTTCTCAACAACAACGGTAGAGTGGTGGTGTCCGGTTGCCTGTTTACCGGTCAGCCCAGCCCGGATGTGTTCTCTTTAACACAGCCCAAACAGCTACCACAGTATCACATAGCTGCAATACTTGTCAGCCAGAGCTGCCTACCACCACAGCAATGTAACTCCAGCAGTCTGCCATACCCTGAGCAGGCATCCTGTTGTCCAGGCATATTGCCACATAATGCAATGCCTAGTCCCGAGGTCCGGATTGAACTCAGTACGTTTGTAAACCTAGGTATCCAGCCTAATCTCCTGGCTTACTCCAGCAGCATTCACTATGAGGATGCCTCAGCTATACATTTTGGTATCGAAATGGCCGTTGACTACGTGGGTGTGGTAAGCAGGTGTACATTCACGAACAACTATTCACCATATGACACTGTGCTGAAACTGTATGCTGGGCCTGGAACAACCAACATAAAGTATCGCATAGAGGATAGCGTATTCAAGAATGGCTGGGGCTACGTTGGCGGTGCAGCCTTCTTCCGTGTGACGAATACATCCGTCAATGCCTCGCTAGATGTCATCAGAACCACTTTTCTCAACAACACCGCAGCGAGTGAAGGGGGAGCGATTGCTATCTCGGTAGGCCGCAACCAGTTCGCCGACCCGTCCATGTATGAAACACTGCACTTCGCTACGATCGATGGATGCAATTTCACCAGTAACCGTGTTGGCCGCATCACTCGACTCAGTGCAGGCGGTGCCATATCCATAATCTCATCCTCGTTCTATGCAGCAGTTAGTGAAGCAAGGCAGAAGCTACCCACATTGGTCATTCGACACACTACCCTGGTCAGTAATGTAGCCTTCTATTCCTCAGCTATCTACTCGTCAGGATCCAATATATCCGTGGAAGACTCGTACGTATCACTCTCCATGCACCTAGCTTCTGCTCAAATGATTCATTTATTTGTACATGACGTGTGGGGGTATAGCAGACACCGTCGCGTGTCTCACCTGCCCATACTGGATCACAGGAAGTTTGTGTTTAGAACGCACAGAAGTACAGTTGCACTCACTGAAATCCGACACAAAGTGTAAAACTGGTGCTCTGCACCACTTCCGATTACTAGCACATCACTTTACTTGTACATGTTGACACCCAGCCGCATTCGTACCTCACACCCAGCCGCATTCGTACCGCTCCCAGGGCAGTACATTGTTCTATGAGTTTTGACCTTGCGCTAAACCAACACAAAATTAATGAAGCTCAATACAATTCAATTTTTTTTAGGTTTATAATAATGAGATTGGAAAGGAACCCAGCTGTGTATCGAGAAGAAGTCTTATGCTGACCATATTGACCAGTCTGCTGGACACTGGCTACACAAGTGTACACTCATTTTGACTAGGCAGAGTGTTCAGGCTTAGCCAGTCACTGCTTTTATTCGGTCGCTGGTTGTGTATGCAGGTACTTCGCCGGAAATTACAAAGACTCAGCAGTTGGAATAGCAGGCTCCCTTCTGCACCTTGGACGGAATGTCACATTCTTATCAAACCAATCACCGACGTTTGGTGGTGCACTGGCTCTCTATACATACAGTGCTGTGAGATTCGGTCAGGTAAGATTGACTCCCCAATGGCCATTGCTATGGCTTAAAAATAAATGTACTGGGTACATCCTCCGGTGTACTTGTAGTCTTGTATACAGTGTGACTTGAAAACAATTTAAGGATGTCAATGAACAGAACCCGCTGAAGCGTCATTTCACGAAGGTTTTGTCATCAAGTTGAGATGTCACGAACTAATTCTAGAGAAAGCGGTGATGGACAAAGAAAATTAATAACTATGATGGAAGTGTAATGTGAAGAACAATAATAGGAACGATGAAAATATAAAAATGCATCGAACTAGCTTTCGCACAATGCTCATCAGGAAGCATCATTGTACTGATTACCAAATTTCAACACAGACCATTATAAAGGATGAATAGTGAAAAATAACACCTAAACAATGTCAACAAATTATTGTTCTTCACATAACATTTCCATCATAGTTTCTTTTTGTCCATCACCACGTTCTCTAGAATTTGTTCATGACATCTCAATAAAACCTTCGTGATATGACGCTTCAGCTGGTTCTGTTCATTGCAATCCTGAAACTGTTGTCATCTCGCCGCCTTTTCAAATCATGTGACTTGAATACAAGCCCCTTTTTTATTACAATAGTGCTCCCAAATTTGGCTATTGGCCACATTCAGAGCCTGATATTTGTACTGTTGTAACATTACACCAAGCAGAGCACGACGCGTATCTAATCACCGCCCCTTGGGGCCAAAAGAGCAGTGGCGGGTGGTTGTGCAGACTGAGGCATAACAGATATAACCATGCAGTCTCAGTGACAGGATGTGTCGGTGCTAACCCAGGTTGGGTTAGCTGCTAGCTGGTTGTGTTGTCTGTAACTGCATATATATTTTAATGTAAAGCATAAAGCCTTTTTGCAGGTACATTGTGTTAGCATATTCTGCTGCATAGTTATAACACAAACTCTTTCTCCTTCTCCCAAACAGTCTCTTTGCTGCAAGCTACTGACTTTACATTTCACCGAATGTTCATAAGCGAACACTAAACAAGTCGACCCACGTCTTACTGAATGTATCTGCATGAGAACTTACAAATAGCACAAAACTGCTTGATACTGTTCCTGAGTACATCATGGAGAAATGTTGTATTTCTCGCCGGCCGAGCGCAGCGAGATAGGCGAGAAATGATTTCTCGCGAAATATTTTCAGTTGCAAATATGGCATCTGGTGTGTTCTTTGTTGTCGCTTCTTTTCCTGACTTCTTCAGTCAGTTTTGAGTCTCACCAGTGTGGACCGGTTTTTTCGATCTCCGTAGGATTTTCCTTGAACGAACTTCTTTGTCAGGATCCCTCGACCATAATGCTTCTTTCTCAGCGCCTTTGACATCCCCTCCGATCACATCGTCGTCGGCTACCCCCGCGTCCCCCGAATCGCCGTCTTCGCCATCCAACTGACCAACATCCGAGGCGTACAGGTCCCCTGCGTGACGGAATCTGACACGACCCGTGGAAAGCCAGCAGTTGAAACCGCAACACCCACAGGACAAGATCCAGGAGCTGAGGACATTGTCTGGAACGGGCCTCAACCCCAAACTCCAGCAAACAAAACCCTCGCTCATACTCGTAGCCAAAAATGCTGCGAACAACAGTGTGAACAAAAAATCGAACTGTTCGCAACCAAGGACGGCGCCAAGCCCCATGTCCGTGCAAGACACCAGCAAGGCGCTATGTCATCCATCGACCATCGCGCGAGCCTGAGATACACATGAAACAAACTTCTGAGAATTGCGGAGGAAAAGTTTGGAATGTTGTAGTGATGATTTGATGCTGATGATTACGCTGCACGCAAAACAGGCAGGACGAAGAAACCATGATGCCATCTCCAGCAAAATCAATGACCACTGCAGTACCTACAGTAGCCTACAGCCGCAGCTGCCACTGGGCAATCAGCCATCGCCAGCCGCGAGATCACGAGGCCAGATGACGGATCGTGGCTGCCGCCAGTGACTATCCAGATAAGTTGAATTTATTGTATGCTTTTTCTCATAGGTTTAACAGATTGGTGCCATAGTGTACTCCAGTCACCTCCGTTCGGGCTTTGTTGCGGTCGTGAATGAAATTACTTGTTTCTGTACTCAAAACATCCTATTATAATGGAGATTGTCTCTCCCTTTCTCTTCCTCCGGCACGCACCAAATCATTCGGTAACGAGAGTAGCGCCGCCAACCATGCCGGATTTGTATATGGTGGTATAAAGTGCTTTCTTACGTGTAGGTGGTCAGGCGTAGTTGTACAATCGAATAAGCTCCAGATTATAGTAATCATTCGATTGCTTTACACCCCTACAGGCAATGTTTGCAATTCCAGTACTTTATGCGGGGTAGGGTACTACACTAGTTCCTCTTCCAGTATATCCATTGTACAGCGTCGGTGCATTATTTGTGCGTCCGTGGATGAATCTACAAATTCGCCTATGCGAAGCTAACTTTAGTAAATGCGCGTATGGCACACTGTGTGCTGGTGGCATAACTGTGTTTCGGAAGGAGTGTGCTGCGCATACTGTGCGGGCGGACAAGTCCTGCTGTATCTGTCTTACTGAACGCATTGTGCATTGTGCTATGTTAGATCGGTCCTGCCTGATGAGTGCATCGTGCACTGAGTGTCGGCTATGATTCCTGGTGTAACTGTCCTAATTGACAAGCACATTATGCGCTGTGTGGTAAAACTGTGTTTCTGGATGAGTGTACTTCGCATAGCGTGTTGGTGGACATGTCCTGGTGTAACTGTCTTTCTGGATGAACGCATCGTGCGATGTGCTATCCCAGACCTGTCTTACGTGATGAGTACATTGTGCGCTGAGTGTCAGTGTTGATTCCTGGTGTAACTGTCTGAATTGACGAGCACATTATGCGCTGTGCAATGTCATATGAGTCCCGATAGAGCTGTCTCACCGAAGGAGTGCATCGGGAGCTGTGCGATGTCCAACGGATCCCGGTATGTCTGACTGGAAGAGTGCATTGTGCTCTGCGAGGTGACGGTGGATGCCCAGTATAACTGTCTTACTGGAAGAGTGCATTGTGCACTGCGAGATGATGGAGGATTCCCAGTATAACTGTCTTACTGGAAGAGTGCATTGTGCGCTGCGAGATGATGGAGGATTCCCAGTATAACTGTCTTACTGGAAGAGTGCATTGTGCGCTGCGAGATGACGGAGGATCCCCAGTATAACTGTCTTACTGGAAGAGTGCATTGTGCACTGCGAGATGACGGCGGAGGCCCGGTATAACTGTCTTACCGGAAGAGTGCATTGTGCACTGTCCAATGCCAGCCGAACCCCTCTAGATCTGTCGCCCTGGATGAGTGTGTTCTACACTGTGCGACGCCAGATGAGTGCCCATATAACTGTCTCACTGGATGAGCGCCTTATGCACCGTACAACGTAAGGCACTTACACCCCGGCAGTGTCCGCCACCTCCCAATATCAATGTCTTACTAGTTGACGTATTGTGCAATGTACGATGTCAGTTGTGTCTCTGTACGATTGTGTCAAAGAATGAGTGCATTACGCCACGTACAATGTTGGGTTGAGTCCCAGTAGAATGGTCTTACCGGATGTACGTATTGTTTACCGAAAGTTATAATGTCGATTTCCAGTATCATTGTGTCTCATTGGAGGAGTGCTTGCATACTGCGTGGGGTCAGTTGTGTCCTAGTCAAAATGTCTTACTGGAGGAGTTCATTCCAGTCTTATTCGCTCATCAGATTGTGTACTATACAATGTCAGACGGGTCCCCGCAGAACAGTCTCTATGGGTGCATTGGGTACTGTGTAATGTCCGCCACCTCCCAATATCAATGGCTTACTACATGTAGTTGACGTATTGTGCAATGTGCGATGTCAGTTGAGTCTGTATGATCGTCTCGATGAATGAATGCGTTCGCCACGTACCATGTTGGACGGGTCCCAGTAGAATGATCTTACCGGCTATACGTTTCGGTCACCGAGAGTTAAATATTGAGTTCCAGTTTCATTATCTGTCCTATTAGAGGAATGCCTTGCATACTGTGTGGTATCAGCTGTATCCCAGTAAAAATGTCTTACTGGAGGAGTTCATTCTCTACTGTGCGAAGTCAAAATAGTCCCACTGTACCAGTCCGATTGGACAGGTGTTGCATGCACTTTGCAAATTCGGATCAGGCCTAACTTACTGGATTCTTGCATAGGCTCTGTGTGTTCTGTGTGAGGCCTGGCGGCACTGTGTGAATATTCCTGGATTAATTCCAACAATTTTATGCTGTGCATTTTAATCATGCCGGCCCTATCGGGTTTCACTTGTCCCGAGTCTGTTCGTGGTACAACCCTGTACATGATTCTTGCTTCCAGATGACTTACTCTGCTGTTCTGTGTGCTTTTCCTGCTTGTTCTTTCTCCTTTCTCTTCTCTACTCCCTGCTTTAGAGTACTTCAGGGGTTGGCTATGGGAGGATTGATCCTGTGCAGCCCAAACTGAACCGATATATCTGCTATCTGTGATCTTTATAGTCGCCACCTGCTGTTCAGTCAGGGTTGAGAATCAGATGCCTTGTTCATGTGCACTGCGTGGACGTATCACTATCAAGTCCTGGCTGGCCAGTTCCTGACACCTGAACTACTATAGACACCCTACATGCTCTCACACTCAGTTTGGTGGGTGGTTCCTCAGCACTGAACTGGGACGTACTGCACCAGATCAGGGTGCTAGGTCCTTGGACTTTGAGAAACTTTGTGTAGGTCATAGCCTACTCGTTTTGTCCCGTACTCTCTCTCTGTCAGTCTTCCTGTCTTGTTTGCATCTCTCTGCCTTCTTTCTCGTTTTCGCCGCGCTATGCTTTTTCTGAGTCACATCTGGCTGCGGCCAACTACCCTTCACTTTGTGTGTTGTCGCTATTGCTGTCTATGTCTCTGTGTATGCCAGTATATGTGGAGCGAGAAGTTGTATTTCTCGCCGGCCGAGCGCAGCGAGATAGGCGAGAAATGATTTCTCGCGAAATATTTTCAGTTGCAAATATGGCATCTGGTGTGTTCTTTGTTGTCGCTTCTTTTCCTGACTTCTTCAGTCAGTTTTGAGTCTCACCAGTGTCCCTGCCCTCCCACCCTTTATTTCTGTGCATATTATCAATGCTTTTTATCACTGTTTGCCGTGATGTGCTTGCCAGGCCTACATGATGCCTAATCGCCATTGGGGATATACACCCGGTTTTTTCCCTCACAAATGCGTCCGTCGGCGCGAGGGTTTTTTCCCGGCTGGCTCGGTCCAGGAAAATTAATCTGACGGTCCCAAGTGGTTCTGCATCATGGCCTATTTCTGCTATCCACTGGCACGACTATTCTATCTGAGACACTCTGTTCTCAGTCCTTGCTTGCTTCCATACCTCACTCGTTATCCGGTTCACATCTGGCTGCGGCCAACTACCCTTCACTTTGTGTGTTGTCGCTATTGCTGTCTATGTCTCTGTGTATGCCAGTATATGTGGAGCGAGAAGCGATGAGCCTTTATCAACTCACTGTGATCTTTGGTATGTTTTATTAATTTATTTACACAGAACTCATCGGTTGTGTTCGAAAACAACTCAGCTGTGTATGCTGGCGGAGCTATTTATGCTGACTTGCCATCGTCCACCGTTGACATAGCTAATCTATTGGATTTCAGCTCTAACGTTGGCCTTTCGAAACCCTGCTTCATGCAGTCAGATCCAACAGCAGTCTATTCCTTCAAGCCGGAAACGAACAACAATGCAACTGTGAGTAACATATGTTTGAAAATGCTGCAAGTATGGAGCTGGTTTTGTTTTCACTGCCATAAACCACATTAAGTAAGCATGGAAAGCTCCATTGTAGCATAATTTTGACATAGTCATCAGGTTTTACCCGGCAGCACTTGTCAGCAACCTTTCCTTTGAGTCCATTCCAAAACAAGGGTTTTGACTTGGGAACCCAAAATTTGCTTCAGAAGTCAACTCTAAAATTTAATTACTAAAGGAAAAACAAGCTGGACAGCCTTGCTACTTCGACTTTCATCCCCACATGATGGCAATCTTGCGGCAACCAATCCCAAGAAACTATCGAAGCAGCCGCTGGTGCTGCCAGCCTTCCGTATTTTCTGTGTCTGAACGGAAAACTACTCATTCGTCCGCACAATGGAATTTGAGCAAAATAGTACTTCGGAAAATTGAAGAGGGTCGATCAGCTGCAGCTATGTATGTATAAGCATGGCAAGCGCAACCTGAGCGATGAAGATATCTGTGGCAAAGCGAGTACATGCCGTGCTACGACAGCACGTAGCACAGAAATCATGTTGTGGTACAAGTCCCACATGTTTTGCACTAGCAAATCCAGCCACCGGCAAGCATGTGAGTGTCAAAAACACAATGCAAGCGACAAATACATTTGCAGTATGCAATGGTACAGCAAAATATAGAAAATCAGATGTCGCAGTACGCACAAAAACACAGACCCAGTTGGTTTGCATTTCTGAGCTGCCCTATCGTGAGTGGTTTTGTCTTCCATGTGTATGAAAGTACAGTGCCCAACTCATTGATCACTATAGCAGCTGTGTCTGCTTTCTTGTCATTCTAAACCATCCCGCAGTTGGTTTTGGATCTGCTACTGGAAATAGTAAATCCATTCTGGAAACGCTTGCAAAACATTCGCATGAAAATGCAAGTTTTCTATGAGTGTGATGCAGCTCGCCGCAATGGACACCCGCACGCCTCTCTGCAAACATTGTTTTGCGATATGAGTTTGTGGAATATCTCCGTTGTCTTGATCAAGCCAGTCACGTGGATTCGTGGGACTAACCTTTGGGAATCATCCCACTCTGTGCATATTGATGTTGCAGGTGATCTTTGACAGAAACCGAGCAGCCTATGGAAGCTCAATCTATGCAACTAGCTTTACCGCATGCCTTAATGACCAGAGTCCAGTGCTGGGTAACCTAGACCAGAATGTAATGGACCTTGTCTCCAATCTTCAACAGAATATTGGCTCCGGGGCTGTCTGGTTGATTTTTCAATCTGCTGGATGTCCCTGTCTGAAAGTTAACCCTCTAAACTTGACAACATACTGGTTATACCACCGCGACTGTACACGAGAGCAGATTTACAACGACACCAGAACAAATCCGTGAGTATCCATTCTCGCGTTCCTTGTATGAATTGACTTGCACAAATTACCCATCTTCCGAGGCATTAGTCTCGGTGATGCAATGCCACAATGAACTGTGTTCAATTTAATGTGTACATGTTTTGAGGCTAGTTTCTGGTGCCGGTTCTGAGGGGTGACACAATGGCCAAAGTGATCAGTTTGGGCACGGCGTATCTGACATGTATGAAGCCAGGCAAGTGGGAGCCTCTTCGAGGTGTACATGTACTGTGTTCTAAAACACATGCTGTGTGTTGTGTCACAGTGGTTTATGCATGTTTCTACTGTCCTCCAGTCTCTATATCAACTCAGATTACACTGAACTCTTGGATAATTACACCATCAACACCAGAGCAATCTTCGAGAGCCAGCCAGACACAAATGGTTTTGGAGTTTTTGCTAGTCCACAAGTAATGGCCGTTCCATGGGCTCTATCTACCTTTGAATGGTATGTATGTTTTATTACTTCGAGTACAACCTTAGTCTTTGCATCACTGGTCAAAACATGTCAAGAAGGTAGTATTTGTCAGATGCACTGCTATGATTATTAATGCCATTTGCATTTTTAACGGTGTTTCACAATGTTCTCAGTTGGAAGCATGTTTTGCCAGTTCAATTATGAACACCGATAGGTATTCATCATGACTTGTTTGTCTGATTGCACTCCGATGCAAGTATCAGTGATACTTACTACAAAATGGGTGTAGCTACCCCGGCGATAATCATAACAGGAGCGTTGCGAGCAACCAACTTTTTAAGTGTTCTTTATTGTTGTGGCTGCGCACACTGAGCAGGTGAAAGTCAAAAAGTTTCTTAGAGTATGTGTTCATGATTCATGGGTCATGTAATTATAACTTGGATCACAGCCGGGACACAACGCTGACGTAAGGGCCTGCCGGGGGGCGGCTGGGATGAGATGTAAAATCTTGTACGATTCGTACGACACATGTTGCAGTTCTTGTGATGTTCAACGTCGAACGGCGTGAGTCATAAGGCACGGTCTGTGACGGGGTGACGTTCGGGCCTCATTTCTTGTTTTCGAGATTTCTTTTCAATTGTATCTCCTTAAATGAAATGGAATCAAGTTCACAATACCAGTTTTTCATGAAGACCAACAAAGTAGCCCTGGAAGTTGGGCCATGCTAATAATAGCTCCAGGAAATTATAACACAGTTTGTCAGTCACGCTCCTGAACTATCCCTAAATATGGGAAGCGACATGAAATCTCATCTTGCTAAATTTCAACTCAAGTCGTGTTAGCCATAATGGGAACCATAGTGTTCGAAATGCTCAACATTTCCGGGTACGAATCGGGAGTAGTCGGTGCAATATGCCCTCTCGTGCTCCCACTTGAATTGCATCCGTTTTTGTTTGCTTGCGTCCCCGTCTACGGTATGAAAAGTTGAGCAAATTCAACTCTTCCCGCCGCATCCCGAACCATACGGTAACAGTTAGTACGGTTGCTTTCCCATTCCTGGTGTTCACATTGGATGCTGTCAGACCGTCCCGTTGCTTCCCGTCAATTCTTACGGCGCGTCCCATCGCGCCCCGTCGAATGTGAACTAGCGTATTGAGAAGGTTGCCTATATCCTAGGATCCAGCTTTTCTCAAGATTCTGTTTCATGGCAAAATCGACAACGTTCCTGTCTCCCATACTTACTCCAGTAAACTTACATGTCTCCAATACTAGAACACGTTAGGTGTGGGTCAAAACAAAATAGAATTGTCTCTAATAGTAATGCTGTGTAAGTACAAAGTTTCGTTTGGAATTAATTTGCGCTATGTTTGTTGGGGGCACGAAATACTCAGACCTTGACCAAAAACGAAATTTAGTGCATAACGAACCTGCTGGTGGAGTGATCTAACGAACGATTTCGTGAACGAAAATTTGTACTTATACAGTAGCAGTGCATGCAGAATGATGTGATGGATAATACTGATGTACAGGTATCAGGATCCACTGTGTGTGACCTGCCTAACAAGTAGTTGTTCTTGCCCGTTTATTAACTTCCTATCTTTCTACTCCATTGGGTACCCTAGCTAGACGGACGTGAAAAATCCTATTTATAGTTGAACGACACCCATGGCAACCAATTGGCCTTACTGGAATAAAAAAAACTATATTAGGCCACCTAGAATTAATTCGTTGTTTCGGGTCACCATGGTAACTTCGCTCATCCGTACCAGGGTCGGTCGGGTTTTTTATTTTATTTTATTTTTTATTTTGGTTTACGTCCATGTGCATACATGTACATCGAATAGCTTTTGTCCATCTAGCCAGTCGATCAAATCTGACTGTAGTGTAGACAATCCAGCGCAGTCATTGTTCCATCAGATCCAGGTCCCCTCCAGGACCAGATCTCGGCCTCGCTGGCAAACGAGTCTGACGAGCAGCTCTCACCTTGAAAACTTCTGTAAATAGCGACAAGGTGGCGGAGCTGATGCTGTTTCAGGACCGATTGCGGATCGGAGATAGAAGACAACGTCGTCACCAAGCACTGCATCCTATCATTTGGCTAGCCATGGCTGCTTCTGAGGTCGATATCTGGACTGCTATTATTAGGGTCGCGTGTGTACATAGTCTAGTCTGTACCTTTGCATGCACTATAAAAAAAAAACATTTTGCAGTCGGGTGAAAAAAGACGGTTGGTCGGGTGACCCGAAACAACGAATTAATTCTGGGTGTCCTTATTAGTCTCCAATGCCAGTACAGTATTCATCAGTAGTACAGGTCTTACTTAAACCTTTGACAAAATTAATAGTTTATTTACAAAATTTTAATTTTGAAATAGAACTATACATTTCTTAACCAGGCAGGCACAGTGGGTTGGTCAAATACCATGCCGTGATTGAGATACGAGAGGTACCTGGTTCAAGTCCTGCTGGGAGTGGTTTTTCCAGCCATGCTGCTACCCACAGTTAACTGGGAACTTGTGGCCAGGCACAAGGGGTACATGTATGGGGCTAATGGGGTCTTTCTTGGCACTTGTGGCAGTGGTTGTGAGACTTATCCCCTCACCCCCACCGTTAGGCGCTGCATCTGCCGCTAGGGCTTACCGGGTGTTAGCGGCCATCATGAGTTCCCTTCGGGAACGGACACGATAATTTACTTTTTTTTATATACATTTCTTGAGCACGATACGGTATTTTGATTACTTTGCTCAGGTATTATCCGAGGAACCAGCTGCAAGATTATCAAGAGGACGAACTCGGAAACGACGTTCTCATTTCGACGTATATTAGCAGCGTAACACTGTACCCATCTCCTGGTGAAGTATTCCCGTTGCAGGTGCAGATGGCTAATGTCTACTTCACTGTCGTCTATACACTTTTACAACTCCAGGTAGGCTACGTGAATATATTATAAAAAAATACTATAAGATAGTGACTTTTTAATACTCTCACTGCAAAATTTGTCCCCCAAAAAGAGGTACAGTGGTCCCTCTATAATCCGGCACCATTTGTGCCACGAAAATCTGCTGGATTAGGGAGGGTGCTGGATTAACAAATCTGATTTACTGCTGCAATGTACATGAAGAGGACATTTTGGCTACTGAAAATTGTGCTGGTTTATCGAGGGTGCTGGATTATAAAGTGCCGGATTAGAGAGGGACGACTGTATAGCTCTAATCTCTTTGCTTACAAATTGCCAAATGAGCATACCAGCTAAGAATTTAAGTGAAGAATTTGCAGGAATCTGGGAATCCTATTGGAGCTGTAAGTTTGAGCTCGGCAAACAACCATACGCTACTAAAGCAACGTCTTTTGCATAGCTACGGGAATAGCACTTACTGTCAAAGTGGTTGGACTTTGAGCAACCGGGTCTACTTGATTCCTTTGCAAAGCTGCTTTTTGCAGATCACCACTGCTTTGTATAATATCATTGTGCTCTGTACGCAGATTGTCAAGGGATCAGCCTTATTGGTTTACAATGGGCATGTCCATAGCTATCTTGAGTCACTCCTCTATGTGCCGGATTCGCCCGTATTGCTTGCACTTGCTGGACCTCCCGGTGAGGAGGGAGAGCTGCGCATTACAACTACTGGTCAGATTAGTACTGCCTCACTGGAGCTGATCATCCCGTTTCGATTACGACCATGCCCTCTGGGATTCTACGAGACGAGCTTTATGAAGACAGCAACAAAAAAGGTACATTGTCACTGAGAACAGCTTTGCTTTGTTAGTGCTGTCCATGCTTCACAGAGTTTGTTACTACACTTCCAACTTCAAAGTACCCAGTGCTAACAAGTGATACAGCATACTGGTAGTACTGCTAGTATGCCAGCAAGTGTGGACATGAATCAATATGAATTCATCCTAATGAAATGTCAACAGCGTGCGCCATTGCACAGGTCAGCGTCTTTAGAGATAGAGCTACAGCCTCACGACTCACCTCTGACCCTGACCCTGACCCTGACCCTGACTCATCAGGTTCCATGCAGCAGTGATGTACTGTATGTTTGAATTTCGAACCTTTGTACAATGACAACTAGCACATGTAGAAGGGAACATTAGGACGCGTTCAGACTACCGATAAAAAGTAACGGAATGGGAAAGTTTCCAAGGTGATTTGATCACATTCTATGCCCGTTTGAATTTGCGAATCAAAATAAATACAAACAAACAAACAAACATGACGTTACTGGCACTTTGCCGGCGGAAAGGTTTTACTGGTGCGGCTGCTGCGGGGAAACAGCATTCCGGCAATGAAAAGGTGCTCGGGCTGTGAGAAGAGGAATATCTCTTCTCAGTGCCGTCGTGAGAGCTGCGCAAGTAGCGTAAGGTTACCGGTAGTGCGAATGTCCTTCACGGTTTATCGCCATTCACGGTTTTATCGGGTTCTTGGTAGTCTTGGTAGTCTGATTATTTCCTCGTGCCCAATTTCAGTACCATGGGAGGATGCATCTCTAGCTCTCTTTTTTCTTCTTATTATATACATTCAGGAAATTCACAAGTATGTACATGGAATTCTTAAGATAAGACTTGATGATGACCCGAACTCTGATGGCAACAAGTTGATTTGCCAGTGTCCAACACACATTGACGGCGTTGAAAAGTGTGCTAATGGCTCTGAAATCATCATGAGCTGGCAGTACTGGGCTGGTGAGAAACATGGCTCCAACGCTATCGACATATCCAAGACTGTTCCACTCCGGGCAGTGAGCAACCTCACAGTAAGCTCATGCCATCGTTCGTATTAGGTTCATTCCTATACTCATGAAGTTAGGGATTGATGCAAGTATTTCTGAAACCCTACTTAATCTCTGAATATCTCTTTCCCTAACAGAAAAAGCATTTCTAGGAATGGAGTGCATTCTATAGCAAATTTGAAAGTTCGCCAAGCTAAGCTTTAAAAAGTACCTTCAAGGATAGAGCATTTCCTGCTGGGTTCTCAGTGCAGGTTAGAACTGAGGACGAGGTTAATTCCTTTACTGCCATCATTTGCAGTGGTATGATAGCTGGGAGTTTGGTGTTGGCTGGGTTTACGTAGATACAGTAAATATCGGATATAACGTGCCCCTTTGATTTTCGAAAATTTATCACTATATCCGGTGCATCACTATAGCCGATTTGCATGTTTGACCGACACATGGCACATGACTGCACATGAAATGATGCGTACACGCTGGAAAAAGCATGCTGAAAGTGCATGCATGCTCCGCGGACTGAGTACCGGTGCATGACACAGAGCAGTGCATGGCAGTGCAGTACGAGTACAGACTGTACTTGTAGTACTTCGATACATCATGTGGCATGGCTGCTTCTTCAGCGTGTTCTCCAAAAAAAGCCTGAGCTGGATCCGTACTCGCGTACTCGGTGTCCAACGAGTTGCGTAGAGCCAGAAATAGACATGAGTGGCTGTGTACGTGAGTTGGCAACATCATCGTGAGAGGCAACACAGCCAGAAACGGACAAAAAGCGTGCAGAAACATACAGAAAAGGACAATACAATACCATACAAAGGGAGCGAGGGGTAGCGCAGCCAGAAAAGGACATGTGCATACAGAAACGGACAAGAGCATACAAAGGGAGCACATTGCGAGGGGTAGCACAGCCAGAAACGGACATGTGTGTGCAGGTATAATAATAGGTTGGTGCAAAAAGAGATCGTGAGTACGTCGAAAAAAACAATTGTTTTGTGATCATCACTCTTGATCATTATATGCGATATTTTCCTGTACATTTGATATGGTTTGCTTCCTGAAGTCCATCACAATAAGCGATATATCGGTATAGCCGATAATAGTGTATATAGTGATATTTTAGCTGTATTTTTTCTGATTTGATTTTGATTTTGGCGTGTTCTATCACTATAACCGGTATATCATTATATCCGGTCACTTTATAAACGATACTTACTGTACTAGATAGTATACATGTATATACTTCACTCAATCTGCGGACAGCTAGCTGTTTTGACCTTGTCAGGATTCCCCAGAGGAGCTCGGAGTCACTGCATGAACAGATTGCACTGATGTCCAGGGAGCAACAAGTAGGAACTGACAATGGAATGTTTCTCCATGCTGTGTTTCAGGCACTGGAGAGTGAAATCAGGGAGAGGAGCTTTGTGACTAGTTTGTGTTTCAACGGCTACTGTGTCAATCATAAACAGTTACAGTGGAATGTGTATCAGCAGTCTCCATGCATAGAGAGTCGAACTGGTCCTATCTGTGGCGAGTGTGAGGAGGGCTTCAGCCAGGCTATTTCATGGGAGCCGGTAAGAACCAGTACCCACCATCTTACCAGCCATAACTAGTGGATCATCAGCCCCAGTACAGGAACTGAGACAACATCCATACTCTCCTCTCTATAGCATTACCGTAAAAGCCCCTGTATACGCCCACTCGAAATAACGCCCACCCTCCGTGTACACGCCCAGTCAGGGGAAGTCAACACATTTGTTTCAAAATAGCGCCCATGCCCATGTCTACGCCCAGGTATGCCGGAAACACCGGTACATGTACAGGTACTGATAGCCAATACTTACTGCTATCCCTATTCCAAGTATACGCCCGGTTCCAAAATAACGCCCGTGCCCTTGTATACGCCCAGGAAATCGAGGCTGCTATTCTATACGCCCAGGGCCTATACACGGGCTTTTACGGTAGTAGCTGTATTGCTCATGTAGATACTACACGAAGTAGCTACATTGTCTGCGTGACATTTTCACCTGTAAATTTACAAGTGATTTGTTTTGTCCAACACTAACAATAACAAGCAGGATATTGGTGGTTCAGAATGTGGGTTCGTGCGTTCTAGACGTGATGCAGCTAAGCATCAGGTTGCTGAATGTCAGCATCACATCACATCAGTCAGTACTATGCTAATTGTTGCACGTTCTAACTCACCAGTATCCTGCTTATAGTTGTAAGTGGTGGACAAAACGGATAACTTGTAAACGTATGGTCCTCTCTTTTTAATTTTAATTCTTGACTTTCCATCCGAGTCTATGATCACCTGTGTATGGCATTGTCACCTGTGTATGGCATTGTCACCTGTGTATGGCATTGTGCTATACCTGGTCATAATGTGCTGCATCCTCAACTCTGTTTAGAAATAGCTTCTATTCTAGAAGGTGTCAATGATTTGAATATCGGCTAAGCGATTTCTGCAGAAGAGAAAAGTGCCCACACTTAAACCTCGGTGGACAGGAAGATAGTCAAGAGCCTAGTAATCTGCACCAAGAGCAATGTAACAGTGGATGACCCAAGAGACACATACAGTGCACTCACTGAAACATCCAGTGGGCATCATCTATAAACACCGCATCAGTGAGACATCATTTTGTCGCTGCTGATGTAAACTATTCAGGCATGACTATGGGACAGTGATTCGTCAAATGTTCTCCTCCAGATTGTACCTCTCATGCAAACAGTTTTTACATGACCAACTACCGCCGTAGAAGGAAAGAAAATACTAGTATTATGGTTCACATGTTAGATCCTTTGTAGGGAGTTCAGTTCCAACCCGGGTCAGGTGAAAAATACAGTCACAACTCTTCATTGTACTGTATAGCAGGAAATTTTCGGACGGAATTTATTTTCGTACGATTTCGTACACGGCTTCTTTTGTGCTAAAATTTATTCCGTACTAAAATTTGTTCATGTAAAATTATGTACACTATACTTGGGTACTGCTTGCGAACACATGCATTCAGCATGCAGCACTGTACGAAAATAAAATCCGTACGAAAGGTCGAAATGCGGCTTTGTCCGAAAATATTTCCGTCCGAAAATTTCCTGCTATAGTATGCTTTTGCAATGGGGCCTGCACGAGAGCTCTTTGGCCTGAGTTCGAGCCCGCTTCTAGCTCATCCCATGACCAGTACTCCCTTGTCGATGCTATTTGTAGGTAGCTGACGTCATTACCTTTCCATTAATGCCACACATGCCTTGCTTAACAAAAAAGTGAAGCCGCACTTTGTGCGGAGGCATGGCGAAGGACTGATCTTGACCAGATACATACTCGGCCCCGGGAGGAATACCCGATTTTCGTGTTCAGCGCCTTGAATAGTCTAAAACAAGAGGATTCTAGAACATTTAGGTTCATGCTGTATCGTGGTACAAGGAAAATTATCACAGAAACCAGCCCAAGGCGATTTACTGGTGGTGGACGAAAAACCGAGTGAGCTGCGTGCACACTGTAGAAGCGGTGACGGTGAAAACAAGTGAGTTATGCAAGTAGGTGCGCACGGCATGCACACATCCTGTATTGCCATGCACTTCAGTTTGCACCTGCATGTACTGTAAAACCGCGAATTTTCGGTGGTGTAATATTTTTCGGTATTTCCCCAAATCAGCGGTTCGGTAGTGCGAAAATTTCGGTATACCAGTTTTCCAGAACCAAAAATGCATTTTGCCCACTACCGTCAAGTCTTGTATAAAAGCCGCACTTGAAAAGAAGCCGCCCTCGAATAGAAGCCGCAATTTCGGGCCCATCAAATCACACATAAGCCTGATTTTAGTGTTGACATACATAGAAATACCTGTCTTGTATAGAAGCCTGTCTCGTATGGAAGCCTGCAAAATTTCACCAAGAAAGTCATAGAAGCCGCGGCTTTTATACAAGACTTTACGGTATGTGGCATGGTGTTTGGAATTTTAGGTCGCATTTTATTTTAGGTAAAAATTACCTGTACCGAAGTTACTGAAAATAAATCTCCACCGAAATTTTCCGGTTTTACATTACGCACCGGATATTGCAGTGCTGGACAGAAACCACACCGTTCCCATAAATACTTGCATTGCTTTCTGTGACTGCTCAGGCGATCATTTTCCCAACGCCAATCATCCAGAACTCTGGATTGCCATGGAATTTCTGTTTCAAACTTTCACAGGTTGTTTCTGACATCTTCGCAGTTTAGAAAAGTAGTGTTTTATGCAAAACTCACGAATTTGATTTTTCGAGTGAAGTCCCTATTCTTTGTGTCTTCTTTTCGCCACGCAGACATGCCTCAAATGCACATCAACCGACATACTCCTCGGTAGTGTTGGTTTCCTATTGATATTTGTATACTGTGGCATCGACATGTTCCTGTTCGCCTACTTTGAAACTGGTAAATCAGCTGTATTCGATTCCTGGGTCAGCTATGAACAGGTGAGGAGGCATGGGCTCTAGATGTATGTATGTATGTATGTATTACTCAATCTCCGGACAGCATGCTGTTTCGTTCTTTGTTAACTCCTCAGCGCATACATGTACAGTCCGTATCGCCTATAAGGTTGGCGGCTATAGTAATATACCGGATATAGTGATCAATGTCTCAAATTCATTTTCATTTGCCATAACTAAGTATACACAGTTATCGCGTATAGTAATAATCGCCTATAGTAATATATCGCCTATAGTGATCAAATTCATATTTCAAAAGACCTTTATTACATTATTTTTGCATCGGTTATAGTGATTGATGTAAAATCAAGCGATGTCAGAGGAGAACAGGGTGTTACTTCTTCGTGAAGAACTTGTCCAGTGAGTGTTGTTTGGTGAGTTTTGCTCGAACAAGTTGCCAAAATATGCTTCCATCATGAGGAAATGCTGATTTTGTGTGTCGGGAGCTAAAGCCAGCTACATGACATTGTATATGTATGTAGTGCGTATGTGCACGGCGCGCTGAGTCGTTTGACACCCCACTCGCATACATTGCATGCAGTATCGGTCATAGTAATATATCACTTATAGTGATAAAATGCTCAAAATCAAACACCAACGCTATAGGCGATACTGACTGTACATGGGAGCGGGACGGGTAGAAATCACAATCATGTTCCCACAGATGGGCGAAGTGGGGTTTTCTCTTGAAAACCCTGCCTATGCTATTGAAAAACACGATGAACACAAAAAAGGTGAGAATCCTTGAAAAACCCACTCAACGATGCCCTTTTTTCAAGCCCTATTCTTGTAAAAAAAATCACGGTTCGCGTCAGACTCGGCTGGAGGCCACGTTTTCCACATCCGGAGGAACGCCACCACCCTCTAGGATCAAGGCAGGAACGCCACCACCCTCTAGGATCAAGGCAGGAACGCCACCACCCTCTAGGATCAAGGCAGGAACGCCACCACCCTCTAGGATCAAGGCAGGAACGCCACCACCCTCTAGGATCAAGGCAGGAACGCCACCACCCTCTAGGATCAAGGCAGGAACGCCACCACCCTCTAGGATCAAGGCAGGAACGCCACCACCCTCTAGGATCAAGGCAGGAACGCCACCACCCTCTAGGATCAAGGCAGGAACGCCACCACCCTCTAGGATCAAGGCAGGAACGCCACCACCCTCTAGGATCAAGGCAGGAACGCCACCACCCTCTAGGATCAAGGCAGGAACGCCACCACCCTCTAGGATCAAGGCAGGAACGCCACCACCCTCTAGGATCAAGGCAGGAACGCCACCACCCTCTAGGATCAAGGCAGGTACGCCACCACCCTCTAGGATCAAGGCAGGAACGCCACCACCCTCTAGGATCAAGGCAGGAACGCCACCACTCTCTAGGATCAAGGCAGGAACGCCACCACCCTCTAGGATCAAGGCGGGAACGCCACCACCCTCTAGGATCAAGGCAGGAACGCCACCACCCTCTAGGATCAAGGCAGGAATGCCACCACCCTCTAGGATCAAGGCAGGAACGCCACCACCCTCTAGGATCAAGGCAGGAACGCCACCACCCTCTAGGATCAAGGCAGGAACGCCACCACCCTCTAGGATCAAGGCAGGAACGCCACCACCCTCTAGGATCAAGGCGCAGATGCAGCTCCTAAAGCGGTGGGAGGTGAGTAGATCAGACCCACCACAAAGTGATCAAAGACCAAAAATCCCATTCGCTGCGTCTATGTTTCCCTCTTGCCAGGTCTTGGGTTCCCAATTAACTGTGGGTCGCAGCACGGCTGGAAAAAATCCTTCCGCTTCCAAGCAGGACTTGAACCTGGTACCTTCTGTTTCTCAATCATGGTCTTAGACCATCCCACTATGCCTGCCTGCTGTAAAGAGTTTTAATATAACCACTTGACCGGTTGCCTGGGAAAATCGACCTTTGAGGATTCCAGCGTTTTGCGTGTGAATCAAGAAAGAAATCAAAATACTTAAATGCAGTACATGCATCTGCATAATCCACACCAGTCCAAATGAGCACAAGGAATTTTTAGAACCGAACGTTTTAGTTCCCTTCTCTTCATGGGCTCTTACAGGGAATATCGCAAAACTGACTAAAACTGCAATTACACCGGGGCAAAGAATTGGGAGAGATAAACATCACGCTACAAGTGTGAAAAGTCACGGCAATTAAAGCCTAGTTCACATTCGACGGAACATTGACGGTACAGGATGTAAGGGCCTGTCGGGAAGGCTGGGGCGAGCTGTGAAATCTTGTGTGATTCGTACGACACGACATGCTGCAGTCGTTGCGTCGTTCAACAGCGAACGGCGCGAGTCATAAGGCACGGTCGGTGACGGGGTGACTTTTGGACCTAATTTCTTGTTTTTCGGGACTTTTTTTTCAATTATTTCTCCTTGAATGAAGCGGAATCAAGTTCACAATACTAGTTTTTCAGGGAGAATAAAAAGTAGCTCCAAAAGGTGTGCCATTCAAATAATAGCTCCAGGAAATGATAAAACAGTTCGTCTGCCACACTCCTGAACTATCCCTAAATACCATAAGTGACATCAGACTTTATCTTGCTAAAATTCAACAAGTCGTGGTAGCCATTCTGGGAGTTATCATGGGAAGCGCAGTGTTCGAAAAGCTAAAAAATTCCAAGTACAAATCCGGAATAGTCGGCGCACAACGCCGTCTCCTGCTCACACTCAAAATGCAGTCGTTTTGTACGCTTGCGTCCCCGTCTACGGTATGAAAAGTTGAACTGATCCAACTCTTCTCCTTAGCTTCCTGATCCGTACAGCACTACGGTTGCATTCCCGTTCCTGGTGTTCACATTGGACTCCATCAGACTGTCCCGTCGCTTCCCGTCGATCCTTACGTCGCGCCCCGTCGAATGTGAACTAGGCTTTACGCTACCTGACTGATGATGCTTAATAGACAAAACGTACGTCGCAATCGAGCTATGTCGTTGCTGTGCCATCTTCTATGTGTCATGCGCTACCTGATGTACCAGCCTGCTATGTCGGATACCGCCAACCAGGCATCGACTAGGCGCCAGGCGCGAACTGATGGTGGTGGGGTGAGAAGGAGAGCTCTGTGCCAGAAATTTGCAGCCTACAATTTTTTATAGAGAGCTTGTGTGGGCAGCCGTGTATTTACCGCCATATTGCCATCTGTGTCTTTACCACCATATTAATCATAATTATCATAGTGCATATGTGCTCGTTTGATGTTGTAAGTCTGTTCACGAACGTTCCGTTAGAAGAGACTATCAATATTTGCCTAGATGTGTTGTACCGAAATGATGAAGTTGATACGCCGTGGATATCGGAGACGGCGTTCCGGGAACTGATGTTGCTCGTGACGACTGGTGTGGAGTTTTCCTTTAGTGACACTATGTATAGGCAGGTTGATGGGGTAGCGATGGGCTCTCCATTAGGTCCAGTGTAAGCGAATGTGTTCGTTGGTTACTGCGAGTCTCTGATTGCGGAACAGTTGTGGCCAGCATTGTACGTTCGTTTTGTTGATGATTCCTTCACCTGGTTTGATTCTCTTGAAGATAGTAGCCAAATCTTTCTTGGTATTCTAAATGATCTACATCCTTCCATACGTTTTACTTGTGAACACGAACAAGCGAACAAACTTCCCTTTCTACTAGTTTCTAGACGTCCTTATGGAAAAGTCTAGTCAGGGTACAGTAACATCTGTGTACAGAAAGCCTACATTCACCGGCCAGTACATAATGTTTGACTCGTTGTTGTGTATCGTGTCGGAGAAAGGTCTTCTGGGGTGTCGTCGAGATCTCGTTGCGACCGTGACTCCTGCTTGTCTCCCTGGCTAGGTGCTGCTTGCTTTGCTTTTTTGCGTAGTGTTTTTGATTATTGTTTACTATTGCGTATTGTTAGTGTTCGTTGTGATTTGGTACAGTACTTGTTACGAGATACGACACACTGTGTAGTGTGTGTTTGCAGCACGAAGAAGACTGCACACCAGAACGGTTAGCTCAGGAGCTTGGGCTTACCTTGTGCAATCACAGTTCATCAGCTTGGACATTGCGCTTGGTCCCATGCGAATAACCGACTAGAATAGTAATTATTTCTTCGTTGCATTTTTGAATTGTGTTCTTGCTAGCTCGTTGATTTATTTAGTTGATGTGTTGATTTGTGTTTGATTACTTATTTATTTGATGCGCGATTTATGTGCGCTGATTGCGTGATCGTGATGGCATGCAATTATGATCATGCGTGCGCCAGCTAGCTAGATGCCTGCGCCGCGCACTGATGTTGAATGAGTTAGGCTGTGTTTACATGAAGCGTTTCAACCCGGGTTGAGTTCGACCCGGGTCAGATTTCAACCCGCCATGTGCACAAAATGAATGGCGCGTTTACATGACGCATTGCGCTTGACCCGGGTTGAAATTTCGCCCCGGGTTGATTTCAACCCGGGTCAAGAAAATCGTACAAACGTACTTCTGTGCGTATCTCGCGCCAGGTTTGAACAGCACTGTACATGTAAATTTCGCGCGAAAGGATTCACGTGACTTTGCGGAACTGTAGAAGTGGACTTTTGGCGGCATATCAGTATTTGACCCGGGTCAACTGTCTTCGTGTAAACGCTCACCTCTTTTGTCTATCGTACAGACTTTCAACCCGGGCTGAACTCGACCCGGGTTGAAATTTCTCATGTAAACACAGCCTTAGTATGCGCCCCGCGCTGTTCATGCATATATGGTACATGGTGTGTAATGTTTGCCGCACACGCGTATACGTGCCTCGCCTCGTACTGCTTATGTGCCGCGCGCCGTACTATTGCTGTCGCTTTGCCGCCAAATTTAGCTTCCGCTTTCCGAGCGCTGTACGCTCTTCTGTACGCTCATGCCAAAGTTGGACGCACGTTGTGGCTGGCCAGCGCTTTACCCCTCATGCGTTGTTCTTTTCCTTGATGCTGTGGTTTGTTTTCTTTAGTGTTCTAGAGTTCTCTTTCCGATGTAGTTCTTATTTTTCCAGTCTCTTCTTCTCAATGTATTCTACTGTTCATTCATTATAGTCCGTAAAGAATTACGTGACCTTTTGTCTTGTGGCGTCTGTGCGATCCTGAAACTTTTGAGGTGTTAGTAGTGAACACAACACTCGTATTGTTCGTACCAATACAAGGTGAATTTAGTGCGTAACTTGGTGGATCGAGCAGAGCGTATTTGCTCCTCTTCCAAACTAGCTGAGGAACTGGACTTCCTAAAGTCAGTTTTTCTCAAGAACGGGTATCCCGACGATCTCTTGAAGGAGCTCATGAGCGAAAGGCTGCATAGTAAGGAAACACGTTTTGGCCCGGACAAATGTCCCACGTATCTTTCTCTCCCTTGGAAAGGTAACCTCTCATTATCCATGAGTCGCGTGGTCCGGAAAATTGTACAACAAACGTACTACGCGGTACATTTTGTACCCGTTTTCACAACTGTACGTGCGTTCACGGTGAGGAAGGATGTCCTACCAACCCAACTCGCATCTAAATTGGTATACCAATTTGAGTGCCGACAATGTGGTAGTCGGTACGTTGGTAGGACTCTTCAACATCTGAACGCACGTATCAAGCAGCACGTCCCACTGCACATGCTGACTGGCTCGGCACGGGCGCTGCGGCCCAAACGCGGCAGGCCACCTAAGAACCCTCGGTCACAGCCTTCGTTAGCACAATTGCCGTCGTCGGCAATAGTGCCTCCGTTACCCGTATCGAGAACCGTGGAGATGAATAATGTGCACATCGTCACCACAACACAATGCACGATAACAACACAAGAGAATACGCCACAAGAACATCTGGCTCAAGACCAAAGTGGACGCTGCGATGAGGTGATGCCCCCATCGCCGTCGTTGCCGTTGCCTCCCCCGGAACCGCCACCTGCACCTGTCATCGGCGGTGCTGGGGCTGGGTCTGTGGGGTCGGTGGCACAGGTGAATATGGAAGAGGTAAGCACTGAACATGAACAAGGAGAAAGAAAGCTGAAGGGAACGGAATTCAACAGAGAAAACAACACGATCAACGGCTAATTATTCAATGAATTATTACAGTACTGGATGTCAAGCACCGGCGAAGACACTGGGAACAGAAGATTTAACAACAACAGGAACAACAACCATAACAACACCAACAATGGTAACAAATTACCATCAAGATCAAAGGAGGAGTCAACGAACAGAGGTTAAGCAACATGAAGCGAGCCTGGGACCGATCGGTGTGGATGAGGAGAATGACACGGGGGACGACACTGAGGACGAGTTGGAAGATGAGACGGAGGACGAGGTTGCGGTTGGTGGAGACGAGGAATCGGATGGTGATTGTGATCGTAAGAAGTCTGCCGTTTTTCTTCATCTGTTGTCTCACCCTAAGTGTCTGCAGGTGTATGATGATTTTAGTTTTTCTGTTCTTTGTCGTGCACGGTACGCTAGTCAGTTGAAAGTACTTGAGGCTGTTTGTATTCGTTTGCATAAGCCTGATCTTTGTAAGCAGAAGAAACATGTAGTTGCGTTAAGATTGTTTTCGTAGGTGCACAGCATGATTGTTTGTCTCAATACACAGTTCTAGCGTTGTAATTAGTTCCTCACCCCTGTTGCACTTAGCTCTCACTTCACTTCTATTGTCTCACCTTTGTATTTGTATTTATATCATTATCTCATGGCACATCATGATGACGGCCAGTAAAACTGAGACAAGGGTGAAAGCCAACCACAGCAGTAAAACAGATAAAAGAATACAAATAAGAGGCAAAGAAGGCAAAGGAGGAGACAAACCAGCAGGATATACATGAAACCTATAATTGAGCAGAGATTTTAGCAACAAAATTATCCATCGACGTGCTGGTCTTGGCCTGCGTTGGTAATGTTGCCCAAAACACATAGCCAGCAAAGATCGGGGATCTAGTGAATAGGGTGGAGGCAGCGCGTGGGAGACTGAGTGAGTTCCGGGTATTCCGTGTTTCGGAGAACCAATTATAAGCCTGCATATGCAAGGGTATTTTATTTAGTAATATTTTATGTATGAGAACACAGAGGTGGTACTTATGTCGAGTGGAAAGGGGACTGATCTTGGCAATTTCGTAAAGACTAGCGGAGGGAAAGCGACGATCTTTGCTAAATAAGATTTTAAGGAGCATGCGGTTATGGGTTTCTAGCTTGTTCAATACAGTAGTAGTTATGCCAGACCAAGCAGTATCACAGTAGTCAAGTAAGGGCAATATATAGCAACGATAAAACAAGCGTTTGCAAGAAAGAGGAAGATGTCTACAGTGGGCTTGAAGAGCCCCAAGGATGGAGCTTGTGCGCTTGCAGACATACTGCACATGGGGTGACCACGACAATTTAGAGTCAATAATAACGCCAAGATGCTTATGCTCTTCAACAATACGAATAGCAACACTTGAAGAAGGAAAACAAAGTGGCAGGGAAGGGGGAGACGGGGAAATGTACATAGCTGCCGTTTTATCAACGTTTGGCTGCAACTTCCAATCATGCATCCAGGTTATAACTTTCCCAATGCTATCTTGCATGGCTTCGTGCAGTCGTATAGGGCAAGCATTGGAGCAAAGCAGAGCTGTGTCGTCAGCGAAAAGGCTGACACCAGGGGCAATATCGGGGAGGTCATTAATATACAGGAGAAATAGCAGTGGCCCAAGGATTGAACCCTGGGGGACTCCAGAAGTAACGGGTAAAGGCTCCGATAACACAGTTGAGAGGCGTACAAGCTGATGTCGGTTAGAGAGATACGATGAGAGCCAGCCGATTGCCTTGCCATCAATGCGATATACTGTTCGCAGCTTAGCTAAGAGACCCCTGTGCCAAACAGTGTCGAAGGCCTTTGCGAGATCGAAGAAAACTAAACCAACATGGTTATGGGCGTTCCGGGCGGTGTGGATGTCTTGCACGAGGCGGGTAACCTGGTACCTGGTGGAGTCACCCCGACAAAAGCCCGACTGTGCTGGCGAAAGTGAAATGCGAACATGATCATAAATGATGTCATATACAACACGTTCGCACACTTTTGATAAAGTAGAGAGCAATGAGATAGGGCGATAGTTGCTGGGGGTGGTGCGTGGTCCTCTATTTTTGTAGGTGGCCACGACTACCGCAGTTTTCCACATGGCTGGGAATTTCCCTTCGCGAAATGACATATTCAAGATAATTGACACAGGATAGGCAACAGACGGAGCAAGAGCTCTCCAAACTTCGTTGGTAATTCCGTCTTGACCAGGGGACTTGCCAGTTTTCAGATTACGGAGATATTTCCTCACTTGGGCTGTACCAGTCGACAATGATAGGAGGGACGCATGTATTGAGGGTGAAGGGGTGAGTGGTGGTATAGGCCACGTAGGGTCGTCCCTCATTCTATTTTAGCACTTTGTTTTGTTCTCGTAACACATTATTGAATGTATATTAATCATTGATTCAGCATGGTTACTCTTCAGTCACGGCTTTCCACTGATGATTGTGACAAGAAAATCGATTTTGGTAAACCTTCATGACTTTCTTGTAGTGTGGCGATGACAGCAGAATTTGTTCTCTTTATAGCTATTATAAAATTGTTGTCTCCACGTCGATTATTTAATTATCATAGTGAAAAATATATTGATCGGTCTAATATTTTGTTTTTCAAGAGTCCAAACCCATATCAATGAGATTCTGCCAACAAATCTGATTTTCATCAAATGTCCCCGAAGGTCGATTTCCCCAGGAAACTGGCAACTATGCCACCAAGTAACAAGGTGCTTTAGCCTAGGCTAGATTCGACTGGAGCTCGCTCGGCTCACTTTGACTGTCACTGCCAGCAGATTCCTCTGAGCTGGCAACTGACGTGCTCTCAAGACACCCTGGTCCAAACGTTCAGCACACAACACCGCCGTAACCAATGACAACCCTTTCAGCCTGTGCACTTGGACCCAAAACTGTGCAGCCCTTTTTCTCGAAAGTTTGAAAATGGGGCGACATAAGATTTCTACCCGACCCGCTCCCACATGTTACTTCACTTGTAGTTGTGTACTTCGAAGTAGTACATAGTCTAGCTGGTCAAGATTGATGCTCTGATCTCATTTGTTTGTGTTCTTTCTCCCTCTTTGCACTACAGTTCATAATCTTCCTAATCAGGCGTGACATGGTGTTCCCCACTCTGCTCAATTTCGGCTATATATCATGCATATCCACGACACCCAATGTCCTGCAGATCACAGCCATGCTCTACGTGGTTCCAGCGATGTTCTTTTTCTGGATTTTCCTCACCTTCCAGTTAAGTCGTTTTGTGGCGGTGCGACGCTTTGTCATGGACACATCGTTGATCGTGGGATTGTGGACAGTTTTGACGTTCTCCTACTGCTATTTGTTGTATCCCTCATTCAATATTCTGGCCTGTCACTACTTCGATGATGACTATGTGCTCTTCTCCAATGCAGCCATAGAATGTTACAGTTCTGAACACTGGCCTTTTGCCTTGTTGGCGTTCATGACAATTTTTTTCATCGTTATTCCCATACCCCTTGTTCTCATATTTATGCGCTCTTCTCCGCGGATCAAGCCATTCATGGATATCTATCTGAGCTTCGTCAAGGACAATCGCTCTTGGTACATAGCATATGGGATCGGACGTCGTATTCTTGTTGGCCTGCTCTCTGCGTTCATTGTGGACACCCAAGCACGCCAGCTCTCGCTGGCATTCATCGTGCAAGTCTTTCTTCTGCTTCATTTTGTCATTGTGCCGTTCCGCAGAACACGGGACAACGTATGGGAGGCAATGTTCCTATCATTTGCGTGCTTGTTTGCGTTCTTCGGCCTACTACCGATTAATGAGCATCCGACATTGGCTATTCTATTGCGAATAATCTATTTTGTACCTTCTATAAGTGCTTTCATCTATGGCATCATAACAAAACGAAGGAAGGTTTTGACATTAATAGAGTTACTTCTTACTTTTCTCCTGGCTCCATTTCTAATTGCTTACTTCTGCTTGAGAAAAAAGCCACTCCAGCGTATTAGGTTTATGGCGGACATGGACAGGACGGGTCGTAGCGAGCCTCTTCTCCAGAACCAATCACCGGAAGATGCTGTAAAGCGTGCTCAAGATGTGTATCACCTCCGAGATGACTTGCTCGTTGATGTGTTCAATGACGCTTCTTCATCTACATGATCTGAGTGCTCATTTACATTCTATAAGTATTAGTTAGTATTATAAATAATTCAATGACGAAGGGTCAGGTTGAACATGCATGAACTTGTACATCATGAATCTTGAGATTATCACTGGTGACTTATTTTTTACCTCATTTTTTCCAAACTTTTCTTTGCTAGTGTTGAAGCTACATGAACTTACAGTTACAGTCAACTTCGCTTATAACGACACTCGGCGGGGCATCAGAAAAGTGTCGTTATTCGCGAAGTGTCGTTATATCCGAAGTCTCATTATACGTGTCACAGTTGGATGGGACTTTGCTCCGGGCATGAAAATTATGTCGTTATTCGCGAATTGTCGTTATATCCGCAGTCGTTATTAGCGAAGTTGACTGTACATGTATCTAAACTCGCAAGCAACGCTGAGTCTCGGTTAGCTGAGTCTCGGTTAGCTGAGTCTCGGTTAGCTGAGTCTCGGCTAGACAGTCAGATGCCGCGGCTTTTTTGAGTTGATATCGATCACGAGTTACTTCTATTCCACGAGACTGACATTTCATCTGGGTAGCTTGTCAGACTCTTCCACAACTTGAACATAATAATCCACAACTAACATAATAATTCCACATTTAGAATGTAAATGGAAATTAATTTGAAACATTAAATAAGAATAGAAATGTTTGTATTATTTGACTGTTTTGCCCATCGTACCAGTTACTAGTACATAGCCTGATACGATAATAAGGTACTCAGAACACTTACCGGTACTACCGCGCCACGTCTTTAAAAATAATTAGCAACGCTTCCTGTGCCGCATGTAGAAAATCTACGCTGTTGGAACACAGGAACTCGGGTAGACCTACTGTTGCGATAGCGCTCCGCCAAGTGCACGGTGCAAATGTGCAGAGCTGTTCGCACACTGTGGACAAAATGGAACTGTCCGATGATCGTCCTACGCATACGGCGTGAAAGTCGGAGTTTCAGGAAATTTTATCCGCAGTGTGTGTGTGTGTGTGTGTGTGTGTGTGTGTGTGTGTGTGTGTGTGTGTGTGTGTGTGTGTGTGTGCGCGTGTGTGTGTCAATCAGCTGTGTGGTGGATACCAGGCTAAAATTAGTGGCGGTCAATTCATCAGCCTTGCAAGCTGTTGAATGGTGTAATCCCAGCACAAGTAAGTTGCTATGTCTAATAATAGCTGTTCGCTATCATCGCTTCCGCGATGGGCAGGTCTGACTCTGAGGCCTGAGGTGTGTGTGTGTGTGTGTACACGATTGTTGCTATGTCTAACAAGTAACATAGCTGTTCGCTATCATCGCTTCCGCGATGGGCATGTCTGAGTGTGTGTATGTGTGTTGTCATCAGATTGGAATGGCGGACAATCCGACATTTGTTTGGGAGCTAGTACATAATTATAGTAGTAGTACCAAAAGTCTTTTTTTGCTACTTGTACGAAAATATGAAGTCAGGGCATGCAGTGGAGGCACAAGAACGAACTGGAAGGCAGTGTGAAATCTAGCGCCGCTAGCATACTACATGTAACGTTAGTAGTAGTAGCCGATAGGGTCAACCGGTCACACATTATTATTAAATACACCACTACATATACGTACATGTACATAATAATTATGGGTGTAGGGCCTGTAGGCCCTACCTGTTTTTGTGTAAACACGGGTGCGGCATGATGTCAGGTGTCCGGTCGATGCCAGTTTGACTTACCCAGGGCACATGCATGGTGTACTGGAGTGTAGTACATGGCTGTATACAATCATAAAACCCTCATGCAGATCTACTACATTTTGTAGTACTACTAGTAAAAGCTGTGTGGTATCTCTCCATCAGCTGATCACTTGCGGAAGTACCGGTGTGTGTTGCGAGATTCTTGAATGCTGACCCGCACATGTAACGCCGAAACTGACTACTGCCAGTTCCGGCATGGCATACTACAAGTACAACGAGTCATGTCAACCTCGTGGCTCTACACTAAGGGTGGCCACATCATGCGAATTATTTTGTCCAAAATTGAAATTCAAAAAGCGAAAAAAACGGTCAAAATGTTTTAAGAAAATTCAAAAAATCCCCCAAAATGCAGAAAAATTCGATCCGTTGCCATGGTTTTTACAGTACTCGTACCCAATAATTTCAAAAAAACAAAAAAATCCACAAACCGCTTATCATGCGTGTCTGTGTGCTTCCAAATAATTCGAGGATGGGTGTCAAAAGGTCGAAGGTCAAAGGTGTGTGTGTTTGAGGCCTCATTTACACGACAACGATTGAAAAACGTTTTTCAATCGTTTTCACATATCAAACTTGGTAATATATTGAGCAGCACATGTACTCTCCTGATGTGACATCACTGTCGTTCTCCAAAAACGGCCAAAATATAATCCTGATGGGGCCAAAATTCCAAAAAAATTCAAAGTGTGAAAATCCAACCAAAATTCCAAAATAATTGAAAACATGTTGTGGACAAGCCTACTCTACACCCAGAGACCAGAGTAGGTTTCTTTTTCTTTTCGAGGCGGTCCCGTGGACAGTCTAGGCATGGGCGGGTAATGCTAGCTATATGGCTGGCATTATAGTCCCTTTTTTCCAGATGGCATAATGCTGGTATTATAACACCATTTCGTGTGCAAAATTGGCATTACAAGCATAATTGCCTGTCGACAACGGTGTCATGCATGAAGCTGGCTAGGTCCAGTTCCGAAAATCGTGCATCTGAACCCGTCCGGCTTCGTCCGGAGACTTGACGTTGCAAATCAACCTTCTCAGTGGATTGTTTCAGACAACATGCTCACAGCTGTTTTAGTTTTTTCTTCTTCTACGCTTTGGCCTTGATCCAAGACGGCCTTCTTAAATCGACTTTTCCAACTTTCAAACTGGCATTATGGAGTGGTGTGAGCATTATAAGTGGCATTATATCCTCATATTATGAGCATTGCCTTTAGCATTATCGCAGCAAATAACTAGCATTACCCGCCCATGCCTAGGACAGTCTGCATTTGAGGACTGGATTGATTCACCCTGTCACGTGACATATGCAGCCAGGATATTCCGGAAATGCTACTTTTACAATACAGCTGTAATATGTAGTAGAACACCGATATGCAGTAAAAGAGATTCTACATATGCATTGAAGTCATTGGCTAACTTGGGTCGTAGTGTCCTTTCACTTTGATTCTCACTTCATGGCTTCTCACGATTGGCTTTGTGAAAAAACATCAATATGAAAATACGCTCCTGATTAGAAGAGCTGGCGTACGGAAACCGTCATACCATTCTGATACAGTGATTGTGTCTGTGTTGTCTGTCAAATAAATTCCGGATGAAACACGCCGAAACTCTCACAAGCTGCGTGTCGGAGCAAACAGTTTGGTCACATTTTACAAATCCATCTCCTCCGTGGCAGAGTGTAACTTCTAGAGACTCTGAGAGCGTGTGTGGGCACTGGACAGGCGTGCATTACTAGTAGATTTGGAATAAAGGAGGAAGGAAGCGTCTCAGCTTCCTCTAGGTACCCCGAAAACTACAACTGGTGGAAATCAGTTGTATCTCACCATCAGGCATCACCATCAGTTCGCACCTTGAAGCCGCCTACCACGGCCCGGGGTAGATCTACCAGGCGTGACTGATAATATTATGAAGTCGACATTTACGTCGGGAGATTTCAGAAGTAACAGTTCAGTGCTAGTAAAGACTGAAGCCAGGCCGCCAGGTGCACAGTGACTACACAGCAGCATGACTTGTAGTTGTACTCCGGTCTGGAGATCTGCTGCTGTCCAGCTCTCACATACATAGTCATTGTACCGCTACTAGTAGTACCTGACTTTGTACAGACATCATCCACACTGTCAGTGTCACAGTTACAGTCACTCTCACTAGTCTCAGGGAGACAGGGACCCGGGAGTCGTCAACATGGTTTTGACGACTCCTATCCAACTAACTTTCCAAGTCCAAGTCCTATCCCTAGCTAGGCTCTGGTTACTTACTAGTAGACCTACTACTAGTAGTACTAGTAGTAGTACTCCAGCCTCCAGGATATATCGATACGAGACTTACATGACTGTACCGGTCTGTGTGTCTTGACAACTATCAGTATTACTTAAACAAGGCAAGTCCAAGCTGTTTGTGCTGACCGCCGGTACGCGGTATGCCCAAGGTATCACGACCCCTGTACAAGAGACTACAGTCAGTACAGACTACCGGTGTACTACTACTACTAGTACTAGCAAAAGTCACTACCGGTAGCACATCTATCCCGGAACTAACTAACTGGAGTGCAGAAATCACCGGCGTTGGGTTGGTTAATGGCCAAAATTGTCTTCAAAGTTCACACCAGGAAAATGTTCATCCTGGAAGGGACGCTTATTTGGAGCATGATCTCTTCATCATTGTCATTGTCCAGTATGTGTGCTACTGCGCTGCAACAAACGCATCGCACCAGCGCGCGAGGATATTCCTGACCTGCCGGGCACATAAAGGGATGGCCACAGGAATTTGCTCGCTCAGAGCGGGTATGATAAAGTTGTGTCCCACAACATTGATTTGTGACTTCTTTTTCACAGTACTGTGTACTGACAGTGAAAGTGGACAGACGTCCAGTACCGTAGAGGGGGAAGAAGAATGGCTTCCTCGCTGTCCACTACTGGCAGTCCTCAGCTTGCTCTTTTCACTTGTGTAATGCTGTTGCTTTCCATGTCACCTAGTGATAAGCTATGTGCTGGACAGGTGAATGGATATGATCCTACTTTCGATGATACTTCCAATTTCCCGACATGGCTGCATCTTGCAAGACTGTGTGCTGCTTCGTACGAGAGTCCCAACGACGTTCGCAATGGCAATTGCCAAGTGTGCACTCGCTACCTGACCCGATTCACTCCAAGCGCAATCGTGGAAAATGGAAACTTCCAGACCAGTGCTTTGATCGGTTTTGACCGAACGCTTGAGGAGTCAGGTACCATTGTTGTCGCATTCCGTGGCACCAATAACCTGCAGAACTGGATTCAGAATATCGACTTTCGCAGAGTAGTTCCGGACATCTTCCTGGGCAGATCTAGAGTGTCTCCGATCAGTCGCGGTGACATTGGCCTTGTGCACATGGGATTCTTAGACGCTTACATGTCTCTCAGAGCCGGTGTGCTGGCCGCTGTCACACAGCTACGTGGCCAGTATCCGCAAGCACCTATCAACATAACGGGACATTCCCTCGGCGGAGCCATTGCTGCCCTGTGTGCACTAGACCTGGAGATTGAGTCCCAGGATGATTTTCCCGTGCGTATCACCATGACAGACTTTGGTGCACCGCGTGTCGGCAGTGAAGACTGGGTCGAGGTGTACAGTAGTCGCGTTGGAAGAAGTCTACGTGTTGTCCACCGTGTTGATCTAGTACCTAAACTACCCCTGGCTATCATGGGGTTCAAGCATGACCCCAGGTATTACCTGGACCCAAGGGACTCCCTCAATCCGCTTACAAGCCATGTTGTCTACCTTGGTATACGTATCAGCAATGGTGGCACACCAGTGGAGAGAAGGCGCTCTCCATCTCAACGTCGCTCCGTTGAGAAATCTGGCAAAACCACTCCAGTGGATACTACCAAACCATCTAACGACGACAGTATCAGTCACAAAGTTGCAGCAGTCCAAGCTGAGGAGACTGTTGTCTACAAGTTTGGCAAGTCCACGGCTTAGTGAACCAGATATGTTGGTCTGGGACAGTACAGCCACTGGTAGCATTAGCTAGTAACCAAGTAATTTTAGTTAGTCACTGATGTTCTGCTTTCTTATTAATTTTAGATAACGGATGCATTGACATGACTATCCGCATACACACACGCACCATAGATACAACACATTTGCATAAACACTCACACATACACACACTCACACGCGCACGCATTGATGTTCACTCATGCTTTCCTAGATGTGGAGGATTTGCTTTTACTTCATTGGCAATGTACATGTAGCTACTCACATTCTCTGATGTAGGAATAGAAGTAGAGTGTTCAAAAACACCTTTGTTTGCTGCATATTAATCATTGCTATTAGATTTTGTAGGATCGTCCTCACCCAAGTGTGTAGGAGCTGTATAGCACGGTAATTGAGGGAGAAAGCAGGACCCAGTCGTTGCCATGGATAAACCGTGAGCAATAATTGTACTAGCATGATGCCAATAGCAGCTGAATACTGCATTCTAATGCCATACGGAAGCACATGTAATACAAGAAAAATAGAGATGTAGTAAGCTCAACCTAACTGTTCCTGTTGTTGCTAGCTCAACGTCTAGTCGAGGGCCTCGAGCCGAGGCGTCACGTGAACATCAGACTTACTCGCATTAGCCAATCAACCAAGATGAGCCCAGGCAGAGCATCTGATTTTTTAATCTGAAGGCGATTAAGGACACATGCATTACAGGTAGTATTTGGACATATGCATACACTTCACACTCACACTATCAGGCCCAAGAATGACCATGCCTAGCACTATCATGTACATGTACACATGGATGCACATAATACAGCATAACTACTCATTTTTCAGGTTCGAGTCTCTTCGAATTGTCTCCATCAACTGTTCAAACAAATTTTATAAAGAGATTAGTTGAAGTGTCCCATGAGAACGGTTTCTATCATTTTAAAGTTTTTCAGTGGAATTGTCATGGCGATGATGACGTCCGATCAGATCGACCATCTCCATGTACTACGTGACGTAGCTATTCCAAACTCTTCGAAACTAATCCACCTTCCCATCGGATGAGTTTCGAGGAGCTTCGTTTTTCTGAAGAGGCCAATAAGCTGATAAGGCCACCTCTTCAGAAAAACGAAACTCCTCGAAAAGGCAAAGAGTGACAATTCGAACGCGCCCTTAGTGTTACGCAGTAGTGTTGAATTACCAAAACGAAGTATAGTCCAGAGACTCCATACCATTCCATACCATAGATTCCCAGACTTCAAACCAGAAAGTCCTGCAAGCTTTCACAACTCCCTGCTTCAAACCAGGCAGTGGACCACAAAAACAATGGGATCGTCCTAGCGTTAGCATATTGAAACCAGGAGTCTAGGGTTCCCAGTAAAAAGGCAACGCCTGTTGGGACTCCCCTAGTAAAATAATAAAATCTACTACTACTACTACTACTACTAGGAGTTGAGGCTCTTTGTACATAAATAGCCATTATTTGTTGAACTTTTCTGTGGTGACAAATCACAGGCGCCGCTCCAAAGATGACTACCATCATTACATAACCCCGAAGAGTGTGCAACTCCAGCTAGTATGGGGTCTGCATGATCTGATAGATACAGGGTCGCAGCACTGCATAGAGCTTGTGCAGACAATAGGGCTTGAAAGTGATGACGTCAAAACAGCCAGGGAGTAGTAAGTTGACATCAGATTTCTATTTTTGGATCCACTAAGGTGTGACTTTGCTATTGCCTAAGTATGTGGGTGTGTAGCGGGCCGCAGTCTGACTTTAAGTTTAACCACCGCTGCCACCAATTTGTAGCGGGCCGCAGTCTCTCGGAGGCAAGAACGCACAAGGGTCTCAGTGAACACACTGTAATTGGCAATTGAAATGTACTGGCAACGAAATTAAGTGATTGGCAACTAAATTAACTAACTGGCAACTAAATTAACTGACTGGCTACTAAATTAACTAACTGGCTATAAAAGAATCGTGAGCTGCAGCTTTTATGCAAAGGCAGACTCCGTACGCTAATGTACGGGGATACGCTAACGTATGGGGATACAGTACGGGGATATGCTAACGTACGGGAATACAGTAACGTACGGGGATACGCTATACGCTACAGGTGCATAGCAACCCACTCATGTCGCATGCAGGTGTGACTTTTATTTCGCCACCAGTTGTAACCCCGCCCCCAGTAGCCAAATCAGTCAGTTTCACTGGCTACATCACCATGCTGTGGGTAAGACGGCTTGAAATGTGCTTGGATCCATACAAACACTGGATCCAAGTGGATCCAATTTTTGAATTTTTGAAATTGTTGCTATTTTTTATTTTTTTTTATTTATTGGGAACACAGCCCTACAAAGAGACATGTGGAGACAAACACAAGACAAGACACAGGGGATGTAGGGACGACGTGCCGATGTACAGGGAGCAACTCGACCGACCAGGGGTCTCGGCGTTAGCGTTGCAACCTGGCATCGAAAAAAAGGGGGGGGGTTGCATGGTCAGGTAGCAAAAATAATAATTTGGTGCGAGAAAGGGGCGCTAGTATTGCACCAAATAATATAAATTAATACGTGTAATGACTAAACCAGAAGGGAAAATGAAGAAAGAGGACAATAATCATAACAAGCAAGTAGTAGTAGAGAGGTAAATACTAAATGGGTCTCAAATCTCAATATCATCGTCACAGGTACTGTGTGGACCACAGCCATCTCTTTCGGATTAGATCCTTACATACGTTGACCTTGAAGGTTTGGAGGCGTCTTGAATGAGGCTCGTGAAGCAGGAGGTCCGCAGGCAGGTTGTTCCAGGGTGTGATGGCGAAGAAGGGGAAGGATCGCAGGAGGTAGTCAGGGGCTGTGCGAGGGGGTGTCCACTTCAGCTGAAAGGCATGGTGCGTCTGACGTGTTTGCCGTGTGCACATGCTAGCTACGGCAGGGGGCTTGGTTGGTGGCAGCATGGCCTTTACCTGGGGAGGCCCTGGAATGTAGTGCAGCTTGAACAAGTATGACAGGGCTGCCACCATCCGACGAAGCTGAAGACTTTGGAGGATGGTTCCAGGTCCCAGGAAATGCAGGGCACGTTGCTGAACCTTGTCCAGCTGGGCCATGTTAGTTGCGGCTGCGCTCGACCAGGCCAGTGGGGCATATTCAAGTAGGGGTCGCACGAATCCCTTGTAGACCGTCACTCGACCATGGTCGCCCAGGATGGGTGCTGCCTTTCGTAGGAAACCCAGCCTTTGGGAGGCGCGCAGTGCAACACTGCGAGTGTGCGCTCTGTAGGAGAGAGTGGGGTCGAGCATGACTCCCAGCAGCTTCAGGGTATCTGTCTCCTGGAGTGCTTCACCTCCAAAGGTGACTGGTGGAGTGCAGGGGGGAACGTGCTTGCGATGTAGAGTCATGCGCTGTGTCTTGGCTGGCTCAAAACAGATACGCCACTTGCGGCCCCACTCCTCAAGACTGTTGAGGGACCCTTGGAGGGAGGCGGTGGACTGTTGGAGATCGTCAGTTGGCTGTACTAAGCTGTAGAGTGTGGTGTCGTCTGCAAAGCTGCTCAGCTGCGTTCCTGGAGTTAAACATTGTTCAATGTCACAGGTGTATAGAAGGAAGAGGCTGGGTCCTAGGATGCTGCCTTGGGGGACACCAGCCTGGATGGGTTGAGCATCTGACGTCTGGCCTCCAACCACAACGCGGATGTTTCGGTTGGTGAGGTAGTCCTGTAGCCATACAAGCAGGCGTCCGTCGACGCCGGCCTGCTTTGCTTTGTACAGCACTCCTGTGTGCGATACCCGGTCAAACGCACCGGCAATATCCACGGCGAGGACCTGGACACAACCGCCAGTACTTATGGTGTGGACCCATTCATGTTGGAGAGCCGTTAAGATATCTGCGGTTCCTCTACCACGTCGGAATCCAAACTGGCTGTTTGGCAACACCTCATGCTTCTCTAGGTAGTTAACCAGTTGCGTGTTTACAATGCCCTCCATGACTTTCGACATGATCGTTAGCAGTGATATTGGTCGGTAGTTAGATGCCAAAGATCTGGAGGACCGTTTGTGAACTGGGACTACATGGGCGAGTTTCCATGCCCCGGGTTGCACACCGGCTAAGAAGCAGAGGGCGAAGAGCTTTGCCAGTGGGTCTGCAAGTTCAGATGAGCACATCTTGAGCACACGAGCAGAGATGCCATCCGGTCCAGTTGCTTTTGATACAGCCAAGTTCGCCAAGTGCCGTTTGACCGTTGCTGCGCGGAAGTGAATGTGCTTTAGCGTGGCATAGGCAGGTCGTTGCAGCTATGCTGTGACGTAGCACTTTCAAGCCCTATTGCACACTCTTGGGCATGGGGCGTAATAAAAACTCTTGTTACCATGCAAAGCCCTCAGCCGGCTCAGGCTGGCCCCTCACACAATGTTCCTATTTCAGATTATGGCTTGTACCGTAGTGATGCGGCCCTAGCCCTTCTTGCATGCATACATGTACTCGCAATGCAATGTAATGGCAATCCCAATGCGTAGACTGCAACGTCTGCAGGGCCCTCCCTATCAAAATAATAAATTCTACTTCTACTACTAGACTCCAACGTGTTACAACCCGAACTCTAGCCAGGCTAACTAAAGCTACACTACCTAGGAACATCTAGTACGGTTGTATGCAGACTCCTACCACGATAATGTGGAATACATACGAGATGGTGTGTGTGTGGTGTGAAAATGTACAGTCGTTACTAGTACTTGAATAGGATCTCTGCCATGGCAATACCGGTGAACTAGACACACAACACACCAAAAGGGCTTCGATAGCTTTCGACGAAACCGTCGAAGACTCCGGTTTTTTTCCTTTCCATAAAATCCACGTACATGTATCTCATGGTGGGGGGGGGGGGCATTAAGCAAGGTTGATAGTCGGTGCAGTTTTCGTGGCCGTACAGTAGAACTC